AAAAAAAAAAAAAAACCTCAAAATAAGTTCCCTCCTTTAAAAAGGAACATTTTCCACTCTCCTCACTGTCTTCAATTCATCCTTCATTTATTCCCAACTCCAAGGCGAAGAAATACAGAACAGTTTGAAAGCTAAGATTTCATAAGATTGACAGTCAACCCCATTAGCTATCCTAGAACTTACCCAAGCTTTGGTTAACTGGAACATGTCATTTAATTCACTACCACCCCACAGATATCTACTCACACAAATTAATACAAGAAGAAAAAAACATGGACAGGCTAGTTACCCTTTCTGAATTGGTGGAGCGGCAGACAAGAACCTACTTCATATATCCTCAGGAACTCCTGTTGTCTTGGACAAAAGCTTACTTCTCAAGCACCCATTTTTCTCATTTGCAAAGACAGGATAGAGACTATCCACCAGAATTCATGTCAGATTTAAGTGAGCAACCTTTGTACAAATATCTGTGGAGTTCCTTAGACTTAATTGACAATAGTATTTTTGTCTGTCTGTCTGGCAATACCATAGTTTGAAATCATTGCCTCACACTTGCTAGGCAAACACTCTGCCATTAAGCCTCCAGTCATTTCTTGCACTAGCCATTTTTAAAATATGGCCTCACTTCCTGCCAGGTGTGATCCTGGACCATGAGCCACCTATTTATACCTCTCACAAAGTTAGAATGACAGGCATGTGCCACTGTGGTCAACTACTGGTGGAGAAGGGTGTTTTGCAAACATGTGTGTGTGTGTGTGTGTGTGTGTGTGTGTGTGTGTGTGTTTGTGTGTGTGTGTGAGAGAGAGAGAGAGAGAGAATGAGAGTACGAGAGTACTGGGGCTTGAACTCAGGTCAGGCACTGTCCCTGAGCTTTTTTGCTCAAGGCCAGTGCTCTATCACTTGGGCCACAACTCCACTTCCAGCTCTTTGGAAGTTAACTGGAGATGAGTCTTACAGACTTTCCTTCCCAAGCTGGTTTCAATCTGTGATCCTTAAATTTCAGCCTCCTGATGAGCTAAGATTACAGGAATGAGCCACCATCACCCAGCCAAAGTTTTCTTGTTGTTTGTCCAGGTTGGCCTCCATCATTTTTCTCTGCCTCCTGCATGGCTAGAATCACAGGCATGAGCCAATGGTGGCCAACAATAGATTTGAGTTTCTTTCCTTTTTCACTACTATACTTCTAACCCATGAAATCAAAACTCTGCAGTTCAGGTGATATTCTTAAGGCTTCAACATACAACATGGTCTGTTTGCTAATTCTGTATGAAAGTGTTCCTAATACGACCCTAGACACTCCTGATTTTGCCAGAGAAAGAATTTAAAAATGGAGCTAGGAGCCAGTGATTCATATCTATAATCCTAGCTACTCAGAAGCTTGAGATCTAAGGATCTCAGTTGGAAGCCAACTTGGGCAGGAAAGTCTATGAGAAATGGAGATGTGGCTTAAGAGGTATAGCACCAGCCTTGAACATAAAAGCTAAGGAACAGCACCCAGACCCTGAGTCCAAGACACAGTACCAGCACAAACAAAAATGGATGAGCACAGAGGAGACTTATGTAGGAGCAAGTTAATTAAGGAAAAGCAAAGCAAAAACAAAGAAAAGTGTACCTTCCAGACACCAGGGCAGGCTCAAGAAGGACCTGTACTAGCAATTTCAAGACCACAAGATTTTACTGGGATCTGTGGACATGGAGGTGATGGATTCTGGAAAACTGGGTTAATGTGTTATTGTCTTCCAAAGACATGGCTATGGTCATCAATTCTGCCCACATATCAAGTGAGGGAGTTCTTAAATGGTCAGATTGAGAATTTTCTCTCTCTCTCTCTTTTTTTTTGCAGACTGTGGGTCCACAAGACTCTACTGAATCATTCCTTTAAGTGAACAGGTCGGAATGTGGTTTTTTAAAAAATTGTTTTTGTGTAATTGATATACAGAGGGATTACATGAATTAGGCACACTCAGTATAATTCTTTTAGAACCATTTTCCCCCTTCTGTCACTGTCTCCCAATCTTTCCCTCCTGTCCCCACACATAAGATATCCAGTTCCTTTGCTACATAATGTCTGGTAAGGATCAGTGTTGTAATTGTTCACAGGATGGTGGTTTCTTGATTTTTGGGTTTTTTTTTCACCAGTCCTGGGGCTTGAACTCTGGGCTTGGAGCGCTATCCCTGAGCAACATTTTGTTCAAGGCTAGCATTCTACCACTTGAACCACATTTCTACTTCAGTTTTTTCTGTGATTAATTGGAGATAAGAGTCTCATATACTTTCCTGCTCGGGAAGGCTTCAAACCATGGTCCTCAGATCTCAGCTTCTTGGGTAGCTAGGATTACAAGCCTGAGCCACAAGCGCCTAGTGTGTGTGTGTGTGTGTGTGTGTGTGTGTGTGTGTGTGTGTGTGTGTGTGTGTGTGTGTGTATTAATCAACATCCAAGTCATCATTCTCAGCCATTAGGCTTACAAACTCCCTGCATAATTTCTCTATCATTATTATTCTTACCAGTTAAAGGGTCCTATGTGGGGCTATTTCTTGTTTTTTGTTTGTTTGTTGTTTGTGTTTTTGTTTGTTTGTTTTTGGTCATGAGATTTGAACTCTGGACCTGGGTGCTGCCCCTGAGTTCTTCAGTTCAAGGCTAGCATTCTACCACTTGAGCCACAGCACCCCTACCGGTTTTCTGGCAGGTTTATTGGAGATAAGAGTCCCACGGATTTTGCTTCCCAGGCTGGCTTTGAACCACAATCCTTAGATTTCAGCCTCCTGAGTTGCTAGGATTATAGGCATGAGCCACTGGCACCTGGCAATTTCTTGTTATTTTTATGAACATTCTTCTAATCAGAAGAATTGCTATGCTAGACAGTCTTAGTTCTTGGGTACATTACACATCTGGAGAAATGTTAGAGAAAATATCTGACTATACATTGTAATTGAATATGTTAGGTTGTAAGAGAAACTATTTTTCTTAAAAAGTTATCCAGTGTAATGTTTAACTTCTGAGTTTGGCTTGCTTTGATTCTCATGTCCCTTGTCCCTATGGTAGACTGCCTCAAAAGTACTAAATACATTTTAGAAAAGGATTCAAAACAAAAAAAATTGGAAAAGTTACCTAATCTTTCAATATACCTTCCTCCATAGAAGATATACAAATGGCCAATAAGCATATGAAATGATTCTCAGTGTTGTTTAGTGAATGGAATCAAGACTGGACTCAAATGTCGATTATAACACACACTTGTGAGGCATTTGGAACCCTCTGTGGGCAGGAGGCAGGCAGTGCAGACCCTTTGGAAAATAGTTTGAGCTTTCTGAAGAAGGTAAATATTCAGCTACCATATAACTCAGCAATTCCATCTTAGATATAGAAGAGAATTGAAAAACACATTCAAGCCTAGAGGTATAGCTTGAGTGGCAGAGTGCCAGCCGAGCAAGCAAGTCAAGCAAGTACAATGTCTGACGTTCAAACTCCTAGTATTGGCAAAACCAAATTGAGCAAAACATACATTCACAAACAGATTTACACATCTATGTTTGTGACATTATTCACAACAATTAAAGTTGTAAATAACACAAATTCCTATCAACTGGTAAACAGGCAAAAAAAAAAAGGATTTACCTGTACAAAAGAATACTATTCTACCATAAAGAGGAATGGAGCCTTGACTCATGTACATTATATATGTACTCATGTACATATATTTTAACCAGTGAAAGAGCCAGATACTGAAAGTCCCCTATTGCCTGGTTCCTTTTGTATAAAGTGTCCTGAAATGCAAATCTACAGAGACAGAAAATAAGATTCATGGTATCAGGGACTGGGTGAGGGGGACTGCAGAATAATAGATAAGAAGTACAGGTTTGGGGGAGATAGATGGTGAAAATGTTCTACAATTAGATTGGAGGTAAGGATGGATTGTATGGTACAGAATTACTGTATCTCTAACTTTATAAGGGAGTAGTTATCTGGATCATTCTAAATGAAGAATTGTCAATGCATTGAAACATACTACCCTCATGCAGTTTTGCAAGATGGTAGTTTTCTGTTCTTGGCTAAGGAAAGCAATAGTTTCAAAGAGCACTTCTGGTCCTTCAGGGAATGAAACTCAAGCTCAGCAAGAGCACATCCAAGACTGGGTGCTAAGTGAAGTGGGAGGTGAAAAGGATTCTAAACACCAAGTACGTAAAGAGGACAGCATTGATGAAAGTGTGACAGAGGGGATTGGAAGATGGTGGAGCCTGTTTCCCCAGGGTGAAAGTGCTAGTCATAAACCAGAAGCCTTGCATCTGAGAGCAGGGTCCTTCCTGTCTTCCCCCCATCATTCAAAGGACAGCTGTGAGGACTGTGAGCCAGCACTTCAAAGCCCTACAATCAAGCAATAACTTTTGCCAAATGATGCAGCAAAACTATTTATTGTGCTTCTTAAACTGATAACTGAAAACAAGTTGTGCAGAGTAATATGGGAGTCACCGCATTTTGAACTAGATTTTCTTCTCTAGTTATTAATACGTACACGGTTCCCATGAGCTCTGGTAGATATGTATAATTTCTTTGGAAGTCCTGTGACTGTGACTGTCTAATTTATCTTGCTGGAGGCAGCAAGAATAAAAGATAAATTGGACTGAGAATTTCACCTAAGTTCAGGATACACAACTTGAGAAATAATAACAGCCCTTTGAGTCATGGAAGCAGTCAAGTATAAGATCAATCTTACACTTGATCTATTTCATCTGCTCTCAGTTAAAAGCACATTGAATCATTCTATAATATTGAGCCTCTAGCCTATAATGTGCCTCAAGAAAAATTAATGAAATGCTCATGTACACCTTCATTCATTCATTCTGCAAACGTTGCATATGCATCCGGTGTCAGAGATCACTGGACAAGTGTTCTCTGTGAGCTGGGTACTTAGCATTACCCCTCAGTGATACTATAGTGTCTGATTACTTTTCATTATAAATAATGAAAGCTATACTTTTAGGCTGAACTTTCCAAAAAGGAAGGGTGAGGAGTGCTCATTTCATTCCTTTAAGCTCAAACCCTTTAAAACACACTTGGAGGTGAACAGTGAATGCCTCCACTCCAGAGTGGAGTAGGCCCTTCAGTGCTCCACATGAAAGCCTTTTAACCTGTGATGCTTTCATCATGGGCATTGGGGTCAGGCACACCTAGATGTGAACTTTCACCCTTATGGTGGTCCTTTACCAGTGCAGAAATCCTAACTGTCTTCATGGCTGGAGCTGGCATGTGCTTAGCCTCCATATACTTCAGCCATTATCCATGTCCTCAACTGCTGCCCACGTTGGTCGAGACCCTTTATCAACTGTCCAGATCTGTGCTGAATTTGAGAGAAAAAAATTGCCCCTCTGTAGCAATTGTGTCACACCTGTACCTGGTTCCTGATTATGTTACTGGTCTGTTACCCTGTGGCTTCCATATCCTGGTGACATTAAGACACCCAAGAACACGTGGTGGCGCTGTTTTCTGCCAGCTGTATTCTTGTCATCCTCAACTGGGAACTTCGAAGGGCTGGTCACAAAAGCAGAAGAGCTGCTTGGTAATAAGACATTGTTCTGAATATTACACTAGCTGGTGTCCAAAGTCCAACTCTCCAACAGTTTATAAACAAGCCATTCCAAATCATCAGTAAGTAGATAAAGTACTCCCATTACAGAATAACTTCTGCTCTTTACCCCTTTGAAATCTCTTTTGGACCAATTTTGTCGTGTTTGACCTTGCTTGTTTCACCCCTCACTTGCTGTTTAATCAGCCAAAAGTGCCTAAAAGAATGGCGAAGGCCACTGCCAGTTCTTCTGCAGCAGAAGAACAAGGTCACTGTCAATACAGCTTCTCTTGGCTGTACTGTGCACATGGGTCCCACTGTCTGCAAAGTAGATGAAGTTCTAAATGTGAGGGAATATTCTAGAAATTCAACAGATTCAGCTGGACCAAGCACACTGGGCCAAATGTGCATGCTGGGCTTCCCAGTGCTAAGTCTCTACATCTCTTCCTTTCCAGATGTGGCTGTTGAGCCTGGAGGTTCGACTTGCTGAGTGAAGAAAACAGCCTCATGAGCTAAAGTTGTACTGCACAAAAAGGACATGCGGCAGTAATTGTAACTGAGAAGTATGTGGCACGCAAGTGTGTCTTCCCACATCGACCGTGTGGGTTCTGCTGCTCAGACATCTTGTGATTCCTCGAGATGTTTCTCTCAGGGGCATTTGATTTCTCTCATCATTAACTATGATGTCCTAAAATCTGCCAACATTTGATAAACATTTTAAGAACCAACTTAGTTTACATGTAACCCACATATGGTAACCCACAAATCACACCACTCCTCTGAACATGACTATAGAGAAAGAACTGTAGTGCTGGGGGGTAGGGGACTCAAGAAATTCAAAGTCCTTTTTGGTTCCCAGATCTGTGATCTGGGCTTTGCATCAACCTTCTGGTATTTCTAGCCGGACATAGTGAGTGTCTGGCCTAGGAATTCTACAAAGATGAAAAGCTGCAGGCCGATCTAATCCTAGTGCCCACAAAAGCCTGGTGACATGGGGCCTGAGCTCTGGAGAGCTGCAGCTTCTGGTTCCCTCATTAAGAAGATGCCATGGAGAAGAAGCCTTTCCCCTTCTGCTACTCTGAATGTAAGCTTTAAGGAAGGTACAATTACTTGTCTCCTAATTAGTACTCTTTTTCATGTCTTTCACAGATCATAAATTAAAAAAAGAACCAGTATGGTAAGGCAATACCTAAAACCCATACAAAATAATATTTCCAATCACAGCTTAGAGGCAATGTCGTTAGTTAGAAGAGGACTATACAACAGGGTGCTAGCTAAAGCATTGTCTCCTGGTGTCTTTTTTTGTCCCTGGGGTATATGGCACTATTGACACAATGTGCATTTTCTACTTAATGGAGAGCAGGGCTCAGCTGACTGCACAGAGGCTGCCCACAGTTCGCGGCCACTAGCCAACACATATGGATCACAGTCTTCTCTCCTTCTACTCTGGAGCACGGAGACTGTTGACCTCAGCAACACTCCAGTGCTCAGAGATCTAACTCCCTTATTTCCCAACAGAACAGACTTCACCTGGCATCCCATCTGTGCTTCAAGCCATACTTTCCACAAAGGAAATCATCCTTTCTCACAGCTATCCTGCAGGAGAGGAGGGACAGCGTATGCTGAACCATACTCAGGAAGAGTCCTTCATGCCTGGAGATGTCTCCACCCTCCCCCAGCTTCTCTCACTGAGCTCTTACTGCTCTTTCTCTCTTTTTCCATCCCTTTTAAAGTTCTCTTCTCCTTCCCCAGGAAGTTCCCCTCTTGTCCTACTTTGCACTCATACTCATCAAAACCAAAATCCTACCACGAAGCTGGACCTATAACCTTATCAACAGGCCAGCAATTGGTTTTCCTAAACAGGCCCCTCACAATATTCTACCCTGCTCAGAGTAGTAATCAAATATTTACCCAACAAAATTAGGGAATCTGAGAAGTGAAAGGTTGGGGTGGAGGAGACTCTACTGCTTTTCTCCACATTGTCAAAAACTTATAGCTATAGATATGACTTATGTCAGGTTTTGACTATACAAAGCATGTTCCTTAATTTGACAAAAGAAACAAGACTAATGAAATTGGCAGTTTCAAGATGGTCAGGGCACAGGATTTGTGTGTGTGTGTGTGTGTGTGTGTGTGTGTGTGTGTGTGTGCGCGCGCGCGCCAGTTCTGGGTCTTGAAATCTGGGCATTGGCCCTGTCCCCGAGCTTCCTTTGCTGAAGGCTAGCACTCTACTACTTGAGCCACAGTGCTATATCCAGCTTTTTCTGAGTGGTTTATTGGAGATAAAAGTCTCATGGAGGGGCTAGGAAGGTGGATCAGTGGTAGAGTGCTTGCCTTGCATGCATGAGGCCCTAGGTTCGATTCCTCAGCACCACATAAGCAGGAAAAAAAGCCAGAAGTGGTGCTGTGGATCAAGTGGTAGAGCGCTATCCTTGAGCTAAAGAGCTGAGGGACAGTGCCCAGGCCATGAGTTCAGGCCCCACGACCAGACCCCCCCTCCACCCCCAAAATAAAAAAGTCTCATGGACTTTCCTGCCTAGGTTAGCTTTGAACCATGATTCTTAGGCCTAGCTTCCTTAGGAGCTAGGATTACAAGTATGAGCCATCAGCACCTGACTCACAGGGTTCTTTTTAGAACTGCCTGCCTCAAGGTATATTTCCATTTTGCTAATAGATTACTCATTGCTATCCATCTACTTTCTAGAGTTCTTTTGCTATAGCTGGGGCAATATCCTAACTGTTGTCCTCAAGAATTGAGGAGCATCTGGAATACCACACCTACTGGTAACAGCTCCCATATCTAATCCTTAAAGCTGGGAACATCTGATCTCAGGAGGTAAAAGTGACTTTAAGGATTTTTAAACAGGGAAAACATCCTGGGCATTTGGGTGAGTACCATATAACCACAAGGATCCTTGTAAGTGAAAGAGGGAGGTAAGAGATCAGAGTTAAAGAAATTTGAAGATGTAACTCTGTTGCTTTGAAGATGGCAGAAGGGGCAAAGAAACAAAAGGATAGAGTACCTCCAGAAACTGCAAAAGGCAAGGGCCTGTACTCCTCCACAGTCTTCAGAAGGAAGACTGTCCTACCCACACCTCAGCTGTCCTGACACCCATTTGAAGTAGTGGAAACAAAACAGGATCTGCCAAGTGTTTAAATGCTCAAGGGTGCTTTAAGGGAGAAAATTCTATTTATTTTCCTCTTCTCATATTATTCACCAGCATTTTCCCTCGAAGAGCATATAAGGACAAGTAAACAAGCAACAAAAGCTGTTTCTGTGAAGGTGGTAAAGAGTTTTACTAGAAGGAAGGGAATGACAAATAAGCCTAACTAAAATTAAAAAAAAATTATTGTAAAGGTGATGTACTGAGGGGTTACAGTTACATAAGTCAAGTAGTGAGTACATTTCTTTTTTTAACAGTATCACCCCTCCCTCATTTTCTCCCAGTTTTTTTCCCTTCACTCCAAGTTGTATAGTTCATTTCCATCATAGTGTCTAGTGAGTATCACTGCTGAATTAGTTCATCCTTTACCCTACTGTTTCTGTACTCCCTTCCCCAAATCAGATAAACTTAAATACAAGACAAAGGGTACAGAAATCAAAACCAATGACAAAAGGAAATAAACTGAAGGCAAAAAAAAGAAAAAAATGGGGGAGGACTGCAAATAGTATGATTAAAAAAAACCCTCCTGTTTCCATTTCTTGGAGTTCATTGTGATAAGTATCACTTTATTCACTGTACCAATCTCCAGATAAACCCAAGGATTATAAAGAGAAGAAAACAGGCGAGGAGAGAAGAGGCTGGTTATATTAGGAGCTAGAAACTGGTTCACATGATTATGGAGGCTAAGAATTCTCAGGATCTATAGCCAGCCAGCTGGAGAACCAGGAGATGGGATGGTGTTAAGTTCTACTTTCTGCTGAAGTCTAAATATAAGGCAGAAAATGAATGATGTCCCATCTCAGTCAGGCAGAGTGAGCTCCCTTTTCTCTGACTTTCTTGAATGACTGGATGAGGCCCAACCACTTCGAGGGTCCTATTGTTTTACCCAATCTACTGGTTCAAAAGTGATGTTTGGGGGCTGGGAAGGTGGCTCAGTAGTAGAGCACTTGCCTTGCATGCATGAGGCACTGGGTTTGATTCCTCAGCTCCACATAAGCAAAAAGAAAAAAAGCTGGAAGTGGCACTGTAGCTCAAGTGGTGGAGTGCTAGCCTTGAGCTGAAGAGCTGAGGGACAGCGCCCAGGCCCAGAGTTCAGGCCCCACGACCGGACCCAAAAACAAAACAAAAAAAGTGATGCTTGGTTAAGTATCTGGTCACCCAATGATTCGTTCCTTGACGACTACAGACCCTTTAGGCACAGTACAAAGGACTGGTGTGCAGTACCTGAGAACCAAACCTACTCTGATGGATGTAGGGGGAAACATTTTGTTATTCATTAAAAAGAACAAAGTGAGTGCTGAGGGAGAAAATTCTTTTAAGATACTTCAGTGAGCAAAGCAAGTCTCAGAATAATTAGGTGGGATACCACGCCACCTTCTGTGTGTCCGTTGTTGGTTGTGGGGCCTGAATTATGGGCCTGGGCGCTGTCCCTCGGCTCTTCAGCTCAAGGTTGGCGCTCTACCACTTGAGCCAAGCACCACTTCCAGCTTTTTCTGTTTATGTGGTGCTGAGGAATCGAACCCAGGGCTTTGTGCATACGAGGCAAGCACTCCACCGCGGAGCCACCTCCCAGTCTGCCTGCACCTTATGAATTAAATGTATTTGTAATTATGCACCTATGCGAAGTTCAGAGAGGAAGCACGAGATGCACCGCTGCACGTCGTGTTGAGAAGACGAGGCGGGGAACTTGCCCATCTCCTCCTTTGTTGGAATCGCGGGTGTTCGTGGGGAAGCCCAGGATTTAGATCTACACTATGTGAATGATTTTACAGGTATATCAAATGAAGAGAAGCAGTCGAAAACTTGGCTTAAAGCATGCGTTGTCTGTCCCAAGAAAAATGCACACTTTGATTTCCATCTGATCCATAAGAAGAGTGTGGGGGGGGGGAGGGGAATCGTGTAAGACACGCCCCCAGAGGCTTTCCCAGTCAGACCTGAGCGCGCAGCCCAGGGCGGCCGCGGCTCGCGAGGGGCGCCCTTCGCGGAGCCGCCGCCCTTGCGGGCCAGGCCTTTATACTGGCAGCGGTCACATTTACTTTAAAAGAGAAAACGTGCGTGCAACGAAGACAGCGCAGAAGGAAGCGTGCCTGACGCGGGCTCCCGCCGGCTTGCGACCCAGGTACCCGGCTCGCACGCGGCGGCGCCTGCGCACACAGGTCTGCGCCTCCTCCCCCCCCCCGCCGACTCGTTTTCGGGCACTTCCGGGGCGGAGCTCTAGGGAGCGGAAGTGCCGTGTGGCGGCGCGGCGGGGGCGGGAGGCGGCCGCGGCGGGCGTGGATCTTCGGCCGCCGGAGGAGCGCGGGCCGGCCGTGGAGTTTAGCGTACGCGGGCGTTCGGTTCGTCTCGCGGCCATGAACCTGGAGCCTCTGCGGAAGCGCGTCCGGCAGTATCTGGATCAGGTGCGTGGCAGGCCTGGCGCGGGGTGGTCACGTCCACCGAGCAGCTGCGAGTCCCTGAAGGGAGGCCCCCAGGTGGGGGTCCGGAGACGTGGGGTGCGGGTTAGAGTGGGGGCCCGGGGACGTGGGGGTCCGGGGACGTGGGGTGCGAGTCAGCGTGGGGGGCCAAGGACTTGGGGTTTCGGGGACGTGGGGTGCGGGTCAGCGTGGGGGGCCAGGGGCTTGGGGATCCGGAGATGTGGGGTGCGGGTCAGTGTAGGGGGCCAGGGACTTGGGGGTCCTGGGACGTCGGGTGCGGGTCAGTGTGGGGCGCCAGGGACTTGGGGGTCCGGGACGTGGGGTGCGGGTCAGCGTGGGGTTCGGGGACATGGGGTGCGGGTCAGTGTGGGGGCCCGGGGATTTGCTGGACGGGGCCGGGTGGGGGTCCCGGAGACTATGGGACGGTTTAGGGAGGGAACGGGGAGGGGGGAGGAGACGGGGTGGGTGGGCGGCCCGGGGGTGTACGGGAGGGGGTCGCATGTCCAGGAACGCCGGAGAGAGCTGGGGGCCGGGGCCTCACGGGGGACCTGGGGACTGCGGAGGAGGGGGGCGGGGCCGGGGACCGCGGGGGCTGGGGCCTCACTGGGGACCCGGGGATGGACAGGGGGCTGGGGCCTCACAGGGAGGCGGGCAGGGGATGGGCGGGGGACCGGGGCCTCACTGGGGACTCAGGGATGTGCGGGAGGGGGGTGGCAGGTCCAGGCGCACAGGCGAGCCCGGACTGCTCCCTCTGGTGGGCCCCACGGAGGCCACGTTGGGGAGCAGCGCTGGCTGCAGCCTTGGAATCTGCCTGGACGAACGCTTCCAAGAGATGAGGCTGTGGCTTTTATTAGCCAAATGCAGTGAATGAACTTGTCGGTACTCTGGGAGGACAGCAGCAAGGAGGACTTCAGACAGTCACCACGGTCCAGTGTGATCCCATTTTCTCCAATCATTGAGAGTTAGAGTAGGGAGGGGAACACACAAAACAAAATGACAGATATTGAAATCGATGCCAGGTGACGTGACCAGGTGTTTGCAGCACTCTGGTTCGAGGGTACTCACCAGAAGGTGCTTCACTGTTAGTTCTGAGTCTTTCTTTGGCACTAAGCTGTGGAGAGACATCATGAGCTTGTTTGCCACCATCCTGGCACTTACTTGCTCTGAACGGATTTATGTGCCTTATAAGCATTCCTCCAGTTCATCTGTGTGTCAGCCCTGTTCTGGGAAACCAGACAGAACTCATAGAAAGAACCCAATGTATGAACCCCAGACTGACACTGTCTGAGACCAACTTAAGAGTGACTTTCATTGTCATCTGCCTTTTTGTTGAAGTGGCTAGAGTAGGTAGCTTTCCCCTGGTCAGTGACAGTTAATAGTTGTGTACATTTTTGAGTGTTATGGAAATTACAAGGAAGGTATTTGTTCTCCTATTAAGCAGATCTACATTGGCATGTATTAACAACTTATTGAAGGTGTCATATAAATGCCAGCACAGGAAGTGCTAATGATTAGAATTGCAAAATACTGCAAAATAATTTAAATTATCTATTGTTCAAACCCCACAACTAACCCCTAAAAAACTGTCTTCAAGAGTGGTACATATAGCCGGGCGCTGGTGGCTCACGCCTGTAATCCTAGCTACTCAGGAGGCTGAGATCTGAGGATTGCAGTTCAAAGCCAGCCCGGGCAGGAGAGACCGTGAGACTCCTATCTTCAATAAACCACCAGAAAACCGGAAGTGGCGCTGTAGCTCAAGTGGTAGAGCGCTCGCCTTGAGCTGAAGAGCTGAGGGACAGCGCCCAGGCCCAGAGTTCAAGCCCCACGACTGACAAAAAAAAAAAAAAAGAGTGGTACATATAAAGATCTTAGTAATTTTTTATCCTTGTGCTAAAACTTACCCAGCTGAGCTGTAAGATAAGAGATGATTAATAGACCCCCTATTACACAAGAGGACTTACAAGGAAATGTGAAAACAAAGGCAATTACCCCTTCTTTTTTTTTTTTGATACAGCAACAGTATCAAAGTGCTCTTTTTTGGGCAGACAAAGTAGCTTCGCTCTCTCATGGTGAGTGATAAATGTTAATTTTTTTTCTAATCTTTAAAAATCTTCATTTCAATTTATACCTTTGACCACTTGTATAATTTTACCCTTTAGAGGAGCCCCAGGATGTTTATTGGTTGGCTCAGTGTCTCTACCTAACAGCGCAATATCACAGAGCAGCCCATGCACTTCGGTCTCGAAAATTAGACAAAGTAAGTACTGTAATTGTGTAAACTTAAGGGCATTCAATGTTGTGTGAAGAAAAAAAGTCATTAGGTTGGTATTTTAGGTGTGTGTTCTATTTATGTCAGGTTTTAAACAATTCAATTTGGGGGGGCTGGAAAGGTGGTTCAGTGGTAGAATGCTTGCCTTGCATGCATGAGGTCCTGGGTTTGATTCCTCAGCACCACATAAACAGAAAAAAGCCGCAAGTGGTGCTGGGGCTCAAATGGTAGAACACTAGCCTTGAGCTGAAGAGCTGAGGGACACATCTAGGCTCAGAGTTCAGGTACCACAACCAACAAAAAAAAAAATTCAGTTTTTCTTGAATGTGAAGAGAAATTTCTTTCTTTTTTTTTTTCTTTTTCTTTTTTTTTGGCTGGGGTTGGGGATTGAACTCAGGGCCTGGGCACTCTCCCTGAGCTTTTTTTTTTGCTCAAGGCTAGCATTCTACCACTTGATCCACAGCGCCACTTCTGGCTTTTTCTGGGTAGTTTATTGTAGATAAGAGTCCCACAGACTTTCCTACCTAAGCTGGCTTTAAACTTCAATCCTCAGATCAGGATTATAGGCAGGAGCCACTGGTGCCCAGCTGGGAAAATTTCTTTCTTATTCCTAATCTTAGTCATTTGTTTTCCTTCATTTTCTCCATCCCATCTTGTTACTAAGTTGTGGAAATTTTTTTTCTGTTGTTAGTATTTGTTTACTTGTTTCGAGATCAGATCTCACTACCTTGCATAGGATAGTCATGACCTCTGGGGCTTAAGAGATCCCGTCTGCCTCAGCTTCCTGAATAGCTGGGATGACAGGTGCCCACAACCACATCTGACTTGAAAATTCTGTGTAGCTCCAAAATTTTGGTCATTCTTTTACAGTCCTTACGACTAATGCAAGCCAGGCCTTCAATCTGTCTTTTCTGTTAGAGCCTATCTCCTTGCTTCCTCTTCTCCAGTAATTTTTTCTTACTAACTTATACCCAGTTCCATCGTATTAACTATCAAAGGACTAGTTTCCTAAAACAGAGTTTTGATTATATCTACAAAATTCAGTGATTTAATTCTTCCTACAGGGTAATAGACACCTGAGGCCCACACTGCCATTGATAGATACAGCACACGTTTCTAGTCATGTTGCACTCTTTAATTCCTGGACATGCAGCAAGTATGTTCACTGCAATGTCTGTCCAGCTCTGCACTTATCTCCTGCAGATGCTTCCTTCAGCTGGCTAGTATACTGCTTATGCTCTTCTTTCATGATGTGTTGTGCTGTTTGTGTCTCCCCTTGCTGTGACTTGAGGCAGGTTCTTACTCCTTTTTGAATCCTTGATGTTTGGTAAACAGTACGTTCATGAGAATATGGACTAAAAAGAGTAGGATTTTATAGTTTTCTTTTAAAGTAAAAGTACATATTATACTAACTACTTTTTAAATAACCTCTTTCTTAGTTGTATGAAGCTTGTCGTTACCTTGCAGCTAGATGCCATGTAAGTATAATACTCAATTTTCTTTTTATTTGGCTTATGTTATATTAACCAAACCTTGTGAATCCCTCATGTCTGTGACAGGTTCTTTAGTATCATTTTGCTCTAAAAAAAAATCAATTCTTGCCAGGCGCTGGTAGCTCATGACTGTAATTAATTCTAGCTACTCAGGAGGCTGAGATCTGAGGATCACAGTTCAAAGCCAGCCTGGGCTTTGAAAACCAGAAGTGGCTCTGTGGCTCAAGTGATAGAGTGCCAGCCTTGAGCTGAAGAGCTGAGGGGACAGCGCCCAGGCCCATAGTTTAAGCCACAGGACCGACAAAAAAAATCAATTCTTCTTACATGCAGAAAGTTGTACCTTAGATACATAAATTGGCTGTAATTGTAATTGTCACTCTATTTTTTGGTCGGGTCGTGGGGCCTGAACTCTCGGCCTGGACGCTGTCCCTTAGCTCTTCAAGGCTAGCACTCTACCTCTTGAGCCACAGCACCACTTCTGGTTATCTGAGTGATTTATTGGAGATAAGAGTCTCATGGACTTTCCGTCCCGGGCTGGCTTTGAACTGAGATCCTTAGATCTCAGCCTCCTGAGTAGCTAGGATTATAGGCATGAGCCACTGACGCCTGGCTAATTGTTACCTTTTTAAAATCTATAAGTCACAGGTAATGGATGCTATTTCTATTTTCTTCTTCATAGTATGCTGCAAAAGAACACCAGCAGGCTCTTGATATTCTTGATATGGAGGAACCAATTAACAAAAGACTTTTTGAGAAATACTTGAAGGATGAAAGTGGCTTGAAAGACCCCTCTAATGACTGGGAAATGTCACCATCCTCAGTGAGTAATGTTCGTTTGCCTCAGTAATTCAGCAGTGGGAAATGCCAAAATACATAGCAAAGACAAATTACCTTCTGTGTGTATGTTCATTAAAACAGTTATGGTTGCCATCTTATTCCTCTTTCTCTCCAAGAACCAAACTGAGACATTTCTAAGTATGCATAGGTTGTAACCTCTAAAGCTAACCTCTGAAACTGCATCACAATAGGCTGATCCATGACCTTGTTTCCCAGGTTCCATGTCCCACAGATGGAACCATCTTTCTTTTTTTCTGTGTTCCTGTAGTGTTCAGACCTACCCAAAGAAACTTTGGTTAGCTTAAATTGTTTCTGGGAAATGGTCTGATGTTACTGTTTACTAGATAGTGCATTGTTGTGTTATTTAAATGAATATACTTCATATCTCCATGAAACTGCATTTTGTGTGTGCGTGTGTATTGTGTGTATGTAACTTTATGGATTCTAAGTGTTCCTCTCCTCCCTTTCCTTCTTATTACCAATTAACTTACATATCTAAGATACACATTAATTTTTCTATTAAATGCATATTAAGTTGGGAGCTGATGGTTCACATCAGTAGTCCTAGCTACTCAGGAGACTTGAGATTGGAAAGATAGCAGGAAAATCCTTGAGACTCCATTTCCAAAATAATCAGAAAAACCTGGACTGGACACATGGCTGAAGTGAGAGTATAAGCTGAGCAAGCAAGCATGGCCCTGAGTTTAAACCCCAGTGCTGGTCAAAAAAGAAAAACAAAAATGCATCTGTGGGGAGTTTTGGTATTATTTTTTTGGATCTTTTATCCATTAACTCCATACTATGAAATGCCATAATTTACTTATTTTGCCTTGTTTGTGAAATTACTAAGATTCTCATAATGTCCATTAATATATTTTATTCTGTGTGTGTGTGTAAGAGCGAGAGGGAGAGAGAGACAGAGACAGATGGAGAATTGAAGTCAGGGCCTTGTACTTATTACAAATTCTCCATTACTTGAGCCATCACCTGTCATCCTGATTTTCAGGTAAGATCTTTTTCCCAGACTGGCCTCCCAACTGCAATCCTTCTCCTTTGTCTTGAATATATGGGACTACAGGCATTTGCCACACACTTCGCTCATTTTTGAGATAGGCTCTCACATAATTTTTCTCTGATTGGTTTTGCTTCCTAGTAGCTGGGATTTTAGGTGTGCCCCACCAAGTCTTGCCAAGTTTGAAATTTTCAATTTATGAATTTTCCTTGTTTCTGTCTTAGTTTTAGCTGCCCACCCTTGAATCATCTTTGAACTTTGTTCTGGTTTCCTGAGGTTTGGGGGCTGGAATGTGTGTTGGATCCCATGTCCTGTTAGTGGTGATAGTTGGCCAGTAAGAGGTACTCAAGTTCCTGTCCTATAAGCAAGATTTAATTCCCATTTTACAAGTGAGAAAAGGAGACTGAAGCTAAAACAGATTAAATCATCCAGAGTCACACATAAGCCTCAGGGCTGGAATTAAATTTCCGGTGTTGGGTACTAGCAGACCTTGACTCTGACCTGTGACTTAAGGCTGACTCAGACTCACTGCCAGTCTCTGTCATTGTGTTTCCTGTTATACACTCTCTTACATTTGATTTTACATAACGTGGCCTCTTGTCTCATAAGGCATTACCCTGTTGTGGGCAAAATAATTAGTGTACCTAGGTGCCATTGACTTGTATAGTTTCTGGAAAAAGGTGGTCAGAGTTCATTAAGAAACTTCTGCTTAGTGGGTGCTGGTGGCTCATGCCTGTAATCCTAGCTACTCAGGAGGCTGAGCTCTGAGGTTGAGGTTCAAAGCCACCCTGGGCAGGAAAGTCCTTGATACTCTTATCTCTAATTAACCACCAGAAAACTAGAAATGGTGCTGTGGCTCAAGTGGTAAAGCACTCGCCTTGAAGAGCTGAGGGACAGCACCCAGGCCCAAAGTTCAAGCCCCATAACTGACCAAAAAAAAAAAAGGAACTTCTGCTTTACTTTTGTGTCTCTGTTAATTTATACTAAGCTTAGTTTAATAATAGTTTTATGCATACTAAAATAGTTTAATAGTAGTAAAAACTCATTTTAATAATATATAGCTTTTTTTTTGGGTCCGGTTGTGGGGCCTGAACTCTGGGCCTGAGCGCTGTCCCTCAGCTCTTCAGCTCAAGGCTAGCGCTCTACCACTTGAGCCACAGCGCCACTTCTGGCTTTTTTCTTATGTGGTGCTGAGGAATTGAACCCAGGGCCTCAGGCTTGCAAGGCAAGCGCTCTACCACTGAGCCACCTTCCCAGCCCAATATATAGCTTTTAATCAAAAATTTGTTTTGACATTATATATGGCTCTCATTTTTCCAACAGATAAAGAGTTCCATTTGTCTTCTGCGAGGGAAGATATATGATGCTCTAGATAACCGAACCCTAGCTACCTACAGTTATAAAGAAGCTTTGAAGCTTGATGTCTACTGTTTTGAAGCATTTGATCTTTTAACATCACACCACATGTTAACAGCACAAGAAGGTATTTTTACATTAGCATAATTAATATTATTTGTTTTCCTGTGGAATATGTATAATCAAAAGCAGGCTATTTACAGATTTAAATAGAATTTACTTTCTATTTCTTTTCTTTTTTTTGGCCAGTCTTGGGGCTCAAACTCTGGACCTAGCTTACTGTCTTTGAGTTCTGTTTTGCACAAGGCTAGTGCTTTATCACTTGAGCCTCAGTGATACTTCTGGCTTTTTCTGTGATTAATTGCAGATAAAGAGTCTCATAAGGCTTTCCTGCCCAGGCTGTCTTAGAACTGCAGTCCTGAGATCTCAGCCTCCTGAGTAGCTAGGATTACAACTAACCTCAGTGTTTTCAAATGTGAAACAATGTTGCAAAATACAAATTGTGTTGTGCCTTTTGCTCTCATAATCTTTAGGAATTGTGATTTCATGAAATTATCTCTGAGCTATGATTTAAACATCCGAGTCAGGGTTCAATCTAACTATACTTTAAGTTCCCAAGGACTTAAAGTCTAGAACCCAACTTGAGATTGGTTCTGCCAGAATCTCGGGAAACAGGACTCTAATAACAAATGATTGAAAGCCCCCAAATGATTCTCATATACAATAAGAACTAAGTGTCACTGACTACTAGGTATGGTGGTAGCAAGGTGAAGTGGGTTATCAAGAGAATAGCAGGAACTGGGCTTGTTGAATGATACTCAAAACTATTTTAACCTCCTGTAGTAGTTCTGGACCGCGTGGTTATTGTCAGTATCTGGAGATTTTGGTTGTCATAACTTTAGGGTGGAAAAGAAGGATGGGAAGTTGCTGCTTTCATATAGCAGGTAGAGGTAGAAAATACTCCTAAATACTGCTATGTGCCCAGGACACTCCAGCCTATACAGCATTGGTGCATACATCATCAGTGTTGAGGACCATGGTTTTCAGTATGGCTGATGACAGGGACCTGGAAGTTTTTCTTGACTCAATCCTCCCACTGGTAGCCACAGTCTGGGCTTTTCCTAGTACATTTTCATGTCTTATTTCCTTTTGAATAGATTTGTTTTGACCAAGAACTATTAAAGAAGTATTTTCAGTTGCTTGTTTTCCTCATAAATAAAACTTTCTTTTCTCACCATTTTTAAGAAAAAGAACTTCTTGAGTCACTTCCTCTTAGCAAGCTTTGTACTGAAGAACAGGAATTACTACGATTTCTATTTGAGAACAAGCTTAAAAAGGTAAGGAGAAACTTTTCTTTATGTAAATATTCCATTAAATTTGGTCCTTATTTGTTTATTAGATTGGGTTTGGGGTTTTTATTTTTTTAACTTAATGAGGATCGAACTCAGTGGCTTTTTTCTTGTTAGATAGGCTTTCTACCACTTGAGCCATGGCTCCAGCCCCCTTTTACCATTGTTTTCTGTTTTTTGTTTTAGACATTAGACTTTTTACTCTACATACCTAAGGATTTCAGCCTAAGGTGGGTCAACAAATAGTTCTGAGACAATAGATCTTTAATTTACCTACCCAGGCTGGTTGATTACGTCCTAGAGGTACCTTGGTTATTTTCAAGGTAGAGTCTCCCCATATGTCCGGCTTGGTCAGAGCTATAATCCTCCTACTTGGGGTATTTCTTGTGGCTCTGAGGACAACAAGTACACACTAATGTGCCAGTTATTGTGCTTCCTCTGTAGCTGGAATACCAGATATTTGCCAGCAGGCCCTACCATTGATGAGGTCTTATAAACATTTATAGTTGGGCTGGCCTTGAACACAATCTGCCTCCTGAGTAACTAGGATAACAGTTTGAGTCACTGAGCCCAGCTTACTGAGTTAAAAACAAAATAGTATGTTTGCAAGAATATATTACTTAAAATTTATAGTAATATTCCTAAAAAGGTTCCCAAGAACTCCTAATGCTAAAAAGTTTATTCTTAGATAAGCAGGTTGACATTGCATGAAAATGAGGGGTTTGCTTTGTTTTTTATATGCATCCTTCTTGTGAAAGAACTTCCTGCTTTGGAATTTTGTGATGAAATTGAAATGACAGTTAAATTTGAAAAGAGTACTGATGGAATTGGAAGTAAAGCAAGTTTTCAGGGACTTACATATGCCCTATGAGCTCCTGAGACTTGGTATACATTGAGTCTCCCTTTTGATTTGCCCATTGAGTTTATGTTTAAATTTTTCTGTTTCAGTATAATAAGCCTAGTGAAACTGTCATCCCTGAGTCTGTAAATGGCTTGCAAGAAAATCTGGATATGGTAGTGTCTTTAGCTGAGAGACACTATTATAATTGTGATTTTAAGATGTGCTACAAACTTACTTCTGCGTAAGTATAATCATTGTTTTTTGTGTAGTCAGGTCAAACCTGTGAGATTCATGGATATATTCTCTGAGTAGTCTTTAGCTGGTGATAGTTTAAGTTACTTTTACCATTGACAGATTATCAGACTAGTCAGCTATATTAGGCAGTTTACAGACACATGTACTCACATGTATGGGGTTACTGATTTGAGAGAGATATATATCCTTCTTCCCAGTCGAGATAATTTTGAGAATTTGAAAATACTGTTTTGGCACTATTTTATAAAATTCAGCATTTATTTTATTGATTGATCCGTTTGTGTGTATGCGTCGATATTGGGCCTTGAACTCAAGGCTTTGTGTTCTTGTTCAGCTTTTTTGCTTATGGCTGGTACTTTACCATTTGAACCACATCTGTCACTTCCAGTTTTTTCTGATCAACTGAAGCTACAAATATCTTGCATTTGTTTACCTAGCCTGGCTTCAGACCACACTTCTCAGATCTTAGCCTCCCGAGTAGTCAGGACTATAGATGTAAGTCACTGGCACCTGGCAAAATTTATCTTTTTTTTTTTTTTTTTTGAGGTCCGGTCATGGGGCCTAAACTCTGGGCCTGGGCACTGTCCCTCAGCTCTTCAGCTCAAGGCTAGCGCTCTACCACTTGAGCCACAGCGCCACTTCCGGCTTTTTTCTTTTTGTGTATGTGGTGCTAAGGAATCAAACCCAGAGCCTCATGCATGCAAGGCAAGCGCTCTACCACTGAGCCACTTTCCCAGCCCCATAATTTATCATTTTTTAATGTGGAAAATAATACAGTCCTGGGGACTCTGGATGCTTGGTCTGGCATACCCATTAGTATCTTCTGGATACTTCATCAAAGTATGGTGTGGGGGTGGGGGGGATAGGAAGTGGAAGAGAGTCTTGGTCATTAAAAATGTTTGAAATCACAAACATTTAACAGGCAAGTACTTAATTTATGACCTATTTAATATTTTATCCTTTTAAATAGGCCATTTTATGTATTAAAATTGTTTTGATTTAAAGTTAAGTTACAAAAAAAAACTAGTGCTTTTTATTCCTTCCAAATAAGCAAATTTCCTCATCCTTTATTTTGTTGTTTTTTAACTGAAAGTAGTTATATTGTGTGTATAGCTGGCTATCATGTGTGTTATCTTCTGTTGCTTTTAGGTGGTAATGTGTTGCTTTCATTTTCAGTGTAATGGAAAAAGATCCTTTCCATGCAAATTGTTTGCCTGTACATATAGGGACCCTTGTGGAATTGAATAAGGCAAATGGTAAGAATTTCTTATAAAACAATTTATAAGACAAAAAGAAAATTCCATAACTTTGTTATCGTAATTCTGAAACTTTGTTCCATAAGTCCTAGATAGGACTTGAAATTGCAGTTAACAGCATGATAGAGTTCTGTATTGCAAGTAACAGCTAGGGAAGGAAAGTTTCATCAAAGAACCAGCAACCTATATTTCGCGACAGATATCATATTTCTGTAGTCCTGCTTCCTGTTTCCTTTTCTTAAATGTAATTTGTAGATCAAAGTATGTGAGCTTTAGCTGGGTGCCGGTGATGCACACCTATGATCCTAGCTACTCAGGAAGCTGAGATCTGAGGATCACTGTTCAAAGCCAGACCAGGCAAGGAAGTCCATGAGACTCTTATCTCCAGTAAAACACCAGAAAACTGGAAGTGGCACTGTGGTTCAAGTGGTAGAGCACTAGCCTTGAGTTGAAGAGCTGAGGCCAAGTTTAAGCCCCATGACCTATAAAAAAAAAAAAGAAAATAGAAAAAGGATGTGAACTTTAGTGACTGTCAGTTTTTAACCTACCCCTCTACCCATTTGTAAATCCCTTAGGAAAGTGGATATAACAGGTGTCACACTATTTGGAGATTTTTAAGGAAACAGTTTGATGATGTTGTTGTTTTGTGCCTGCTTTTGGGCTTGAACTCAAGGCCTGGGCACTGTCCCTGAGCTTTATTGTTCAAAGCTGGCACACTACGACTTGGAACAACAACTGCATTTCCAGCTATTTGGTAGTTAATTGGAGTAAGGGTCTCACTGACTTTCCTGCCTGGATTGGCTTTTTGTTGTTGTTGGTCAGTTGTGGGGCTTGAACTCTGGGCCTGGGCCCTGTCCCTCAGCTCTTCAGCTAAAGGCAAGTGCTCTACCACTTGAGCCACAGTTCCCCTTCCTGTTTTCTGAGTGGTTTATTGGAGATAAGAGCCTCTTGGACTTTCCTGCCTGAGCTGGCTTTGAACCGTGATCCTCACATATCAGCCTTCTGAGTAGGATTACCGATGTGAGCTACCGTCAGCTTTCTGGATTGGCTTTGAACCATGATCCTCATATTTCAGCCTTCTGAGAAGCTAGGATTACATACATGTGCCACTGGTGCCTAGTTAGGAACACATTTTTTAAAGAAATACTGCTCCACATCTTAACATTTCATAACATTTAGTTGTACCCTTCAATCTTTAAAAACCCGAACAGTAAGTTCTGTCATGGAGGGGAGAAAATCCAAATACCCCACCTCCAGATTCCTGCTTCTCCCTGGTCTGAATCACTAGCATTGGGACTCTTAGAAGATTGGTGGAAATGTAGACTCTCCACTGAATCCAGTGTCTATATGTAGGACATGTGCTCATGAAATGCTAGAGCTTACATATTTCCTTTTTATTTTTTATTTTATTTTTTATGTGGTACTGAGGAATTGAACCCAGGGCCTCATGCATGCTAGGCAAGCACTCTACCACTAAGCCACATTCCTAGCCCTTTACATATTGCTTAAGAAGAAATAATCTCACTTGATAAACTGGAAGTACTTTGGCTAGTTTGGTAGTGAGTGACTAAAATGCTTTAGTCCTTGCCTGTGGCATAAGAGACACGAAATTTATAGATTGGTACTTAGCAAGAATATTTGTTGCACCTTAAGTACTCCGTTGGGGTCATTTCTTCCCATGTGGCCTACCACATGCCCTTCATTCAGTTTTCTAGTTACTCACAAAATGCTTAGAGCCACTATTAGTCTAGGGAGAAGTGTCTGCCAGGTAAGATTTATTTATTTCATGAAGTAAATGAGTTTTGTACCTAGAAGGGAAAAAGTGTATTGGATTATTGCCGTGAGAAAAATTTTGCTTGATTGAATAGAGTTATAACTAGCTCAGACTTTAAATTGCATTTGATATGAATATTTTTCTTTTTTCCCTAATATAGAACTTTTCTATCTTTCTCACAAACTGGTGGATTTATACCCTAGTAATCCTGTAAGTAATAAAATCTTTTTTCTTAGGTGAACTTTAAGAAAAGCCTCAGTGTTTAGACAGTTTATGTTTAAGTTCAAGCAAATAAGATTTTATTTGAGGGGCTGGGAAGGTGTCTCAGTGGTAGAGTGCTTGCCTTGCATGCATGAGGCCCTGGGTTCGATTCCTCAGTACCACATAAGCAGAAAAAAGCCAGAAGTGGTGCTATGGCTCACGTGGTAGGGCACTAACCTTGAGCTGAAGAGCTGAGGGACAGAGCCCAGGCCCAGAGTTCAGCCCCCACAACTGGCAAAAAAAAAAAAAAAAAGATTTTATTTGAAAGTATTGGGGCAAAAATTTCCTAGTGCTTAAGATTATAGAGAACAGCATTTTTTTTCATTACATTATGATTGTTTTTTATTGTGCCAAAGTAATAATACAGACAAAATCTTTTTTATGATTACAGATATTATTCATGCTTTTTATTTTAAAATACTTAATGTATAGAAATACAAAATTCTGAATAAAATTCTCACCATGACAGTCACATGCCAATCTCTCCTAAAGAATATAATTATTGAGTAGGCTCTTGGGTGGCCTGTGTAAGACCCTATGAAATTGTACATTGACTGGACCAATGGGTTTTCCAAACTGCTAGATAAGAATGGACAACTCAGAATGGACAGGAAGATTGAGGACTATGTTTTCAAAGACAGAAGCTATGAAATGGGGTCTACATCTCAGACAAGACAACAGTCTGACCCTATCTTAACTAGAAACTAGTTTAAGAGAGCTAGCTGAGAATCAGAAACTGGGTACAGAGAGGGTCAAGCTGAGATCACAGGCAAGGTATACTTAGGAATCTTACCTTCTGTGGAAACCACCTTGAGAAAGAGCCAAGAAAGATTTTATTTTGGACCTTACTAGGTAGACTTTCTCAGAGAAAATTAATCTGAACTAAAATGTATACCTGGGAACACCTGGTCCACGTAGTCTAAGCCTAGATTGTTAGAGATTCCATTCAAGGTTAAATATCTCTAGTGCTGATAAATACTCAATTTTTTAGGTGTCTTGGTTTGCAGTGGGATGTTACTATCTCATGGTTGGTCATAAAAATGAACATGCCAGAAGATATCTCAGGTATGAATTTACTTTTCTGCTTCTGTGGTGAAACTCTATGGAAGAGATTTCTTGCTTGTAAGTAGTAAATGCAGTAAGTAGTAAATAGTTTGAAAGTGTGAAAGAAAAAATACTTTTAACAGATTCAGTTAAAGGTGTATTATCTATGTACCTGACTATAAATGAAAACAAGTAGTAAGTAGAATATTGTTTTTGAAAGGTTAATCTTTACCTTTGAGGACTTTTACTAATAGCTATTAAGTTACACCAGACTTAAGTCACTTGGTATGTCTGTTAAACAGAGTTTGTGACAGACCGATTCATTTTCTGTACAGAGATGTTGATTTTAGGTTGTCTTGCAAGTTAGGATGAGATTATAAACCTAAATTGTCCAGCATGGTTCCTAGCATAGAATAAGCTTTCATCAGATGGCCACTGCTGGTATGACTGTTACTTCTGAGGTCACTCTGTGGATTCCTAGGCTAATAGTATTTGTAAGTTTTATGTAAAATGCTGATGGGTTTGGCCTAAGAGTTAAGACCTTTTTTTACCTAGGAATTACAATCCTTTTTCCTAAAATTTACTCATTGATTATTTTTCAGCATTTGAGGGTTTAAATTCAGGGCCTTCTCATGCTTGGTAGGCTGTTGTGATACCACTGAGCTTTACCAGTAGTCCTCTTCACTAAAATTTGTTAAAATTAGTTACTGTTTTAATTCAGATGCATAAATGTAAATGTCACATTAGTGTTCAATATTGGTAATTGATTTATCTATTAATGTCTTTGAGGTCATCTACTTATTTAAAATGAATAGTTTAAATATATCACTTGCCCGGGCCCAGAATTCAAGCCTCAGGACCAGCACCAAAAAATGAAAGAAAAAAAAAAAAGGAAAAGCAAAAAAGAAAGAAAGACAAAGACTGCTTTTTTAGACAGAAATAGCAACTCTTGTTTACATTTTGACTCTTCCTATGGAGCATATGGACCTATGGGAATGTTGTGAATAAGTGTATACATCACAGCCCTGACATATTTGGCATTTGATTGTATTTAATGTATAGTGAACTTCTTTTGTAAATTGTTTTTGTTTAAAAATAAATATATCACTTGAATGAATTTTATTTCAGCAAAGCTACTACACTTGAGAAGACCTATGGGCCTGCCTGGATAGCCTATGGACATTCATTTGCTGTTGAGAGTGAGCATGACCAAGCAATGGCTGCTTACTTCACAGCAGCCCAGCTGATGAAAGGGTATGATAGCAGAACAAACCGGTAAAACTCTGGAATGGAGACTTTTGCAAACAGAAGGAAATGAAACTTCTGTTATAGCCATTAATACCATTTTGCCACTAAACAGAAACATGTTTTCTTAGCTACTAGCATGTGATTGTAAAATAAGTATTGAAATGGCAAGGTGCTAATGGTCATGCCTATAATCCTAACTACTCAGGGGGCTCAGATCTCAACCCCCTGAGGATCATTATTTGAAGCCAGCCTGGGCAGGAAAGTCCCTGAGACTTTTATCTCCAATAAAGTACTCAGGAAAATGCTGTAAGTGGCACTGTGGCTCAAGTGGTAGAGCACTGTCCTTGAGTACAAAGAGGCTCAGGAACAGTGCCCAGGCCCTAAGTTCAAGCCCCAGAACCAGCAAAAGGAAAAGACTTAGGTGCTTATGGCTCATGCTTGTAATCCTAGCTACTTAGGAGGCTGAGATCTGAAGATTATGGTTCGAAGCCAGCCTGGATAGCAATGTCTGACTTTTGTCTCCAATTAACCACCAGAAAACCAGAAAAGTAGAGCTGTGGCTCAAAGTGGTAGAGTGCTAGCCTTGAGCAAAAGAGCTCAGGGACAGCACCTAGTCCCTGAGTTCAAGCCCGTGACCCACAAAAAAAGGTTTTGGTGTCTAATATATAAAAATTTCCAATGTTTTTAGGTGTCATTTGCCAATGCTGTATATTGGATTAGAATATGGTTTGACCAATAACTCCAAACTTGCTGAAAGATTCTTTGGCCAAGCTCTGAGCATCGCACCAGAAGACCCCTTTGTCATACATGAGGTGGGGGTAGTTGCATTTCAGAATGGCGAGTAAGTATTGGAAGGCCTTAGTCTTGGAAGTTAACTGGCCGGACTAAATGATCAATGTATTTTTGCTTCTAGATGTACTTTTTTAGGAGACAGTGGTTGACAGTTAAGGAAAGAAAGTAGAGAGACTGGAAGGTGGCTCAGTGGCAGAGTGCTTGCCTTGCATTCATGAGGCCCTGGGTTCGATTCCTCAGCACCACATAGGCAGAAAAATCTGGAAGTGGTGCTGTGGCTCAAGTGGTAGAGCACTAGCCTTGAGCTGAAGAGCTGAGGGACAGTGCCCAGGCCCAGAGTTCAGGCACCATGACTAGCAAAAAAAAAAAAAAAAGTAGAAACCTTCTATAGAAAAGCTTGGGTTTCTGTGTAATACCACATCCATATTTTGATTCTCCTTTGATCTGAACGGCCATAAATTCTGGTGTCCACAGTATAGCCTGAAGGATCTCTACAGGATTCTTAGTCATGTGTGTCAGAGTTTGGTTTCACACATTTGAGACAGTTCATAATTTTTGAAACACAGATGTTTTCTGTTGTTATTAATTAACAAATTTAAAATGTTTAGAACGGCTCAATTTCTAGTTTCCCAGTTAGTTGAGGCTTTTCTGTAGCGTTGGCTATTTGTAGAATAAATGAATTTGTGTCATAATCTGCATAAGATTATATATAAATTTTAAAGCAGTAGAGCTTCAGAGTTGTTGATGTTTCTCTTTTAAAAGTTGAATTATCGGGCTGGGAAGGTGGCTCAGTGGTAGAGCACTTGACTTGTATGCTCGAGGCCCTGGGTTCGATTCCTCAGCACCACATAAGCAAAACGAAAAAAGCCGGAAGTGGCTCTGTGGCTCAAGTGGTAGAGCGCTAGTCTTGAGCTGAAGAGCTGAGGGATAGTGCCCAAGCCCAGAGTTCAGGCCCCATGACTGGACCCCCCCCAAAAAAAAAAGTTGAATTACCTATATATTTAAAAGAATATTTGAAGCTTTTAAAATACATACACATTTTAATTTAGTACAATCCATTCCCAGAATTTATGAAAATTTACATATAACCCCAAACTAGTCATTGAACCACTTTCAGTCTTCTGAAACACACAATGTGGGGAAAGACTGACATGCTAAAACTCAGTACTCAGCTGGTCTTGCGTAAGACCATGTTGAGTTCATACTCTAAAAAAATGATCCTCTTTTGTGGTCTGTTTAATGCCAGGGTTTTCACATTTTTTTGCCTTTTTTTGTGATTTTCTGTTTAAAATAATCCCCAAACTTGGTGCTACCTGTGGTTGAAGCAAAAGAAGCCATGGTGTGCCTCACAGGAGAATTCATGCCTGAATGATAGTACTATTAGCCATGAATTCTGGGTTGTAGGCCAGTGTGAGTTGGGCAAGGTTAGCCATTTTGATCTGTTGATAAAATGTTGTTACCAGTGATTTTCAGGAGCCTAAAGATGACAAATCATGAGAATTGAATGTGTCTCCCAAACTTGAGTTTATGATAATAATGCTGATGAAAGATTAACCGTTGACTTAAATTTTAATTTGAATTGTTCAGTTCCAGCAGTTTACCCCATTTCATTTTAGGGGTACTCAAATATAAGTATACTTTCTAATTTTAACCTCCAACTTTTTCCTCTCTATTTTAGATGGAAAACTGCAGAAAAATGGTTTCTTGATGCCTTGGAAAAAATAAAAGCAATTGGGAATGAGGTATTCTTTTTAATATCTGCCTGTGCACACACAAAATACATAGTCCTTAGCACAATTTATTATGGAGTGAAGAAAATACAGACACCAGTCCTCTTCCTAGAAGAGAGAGTAGCCCAACATGTTATAACAAATAACTTGGTAATGTTAGGGTTGTCGGTTGAGTGTTTCAAGGGAAGAAGTTGAATATTTGCCTCCTATCTGTGACAGGAGATAGCAACCAGAATATATGAGATGACTGGTTGGAACAGGATTGTGTGTATGTGCTGGTTTGGGGGCTTGAATTTAAGACCTGGCGCACTCTCTCTCTCTTTGAGCTTTTTTTTTTTGCCAGTGCTGGGGCTTGAATTGAGAGCCTGTGCACTATCCCTGAGCTTCTTTGCTCAAGGCTAGCATTCTACCACTTGAGCTACAGCGCACTTCTGACTTTTTCTACTTATGTGGTTCTGAGAAATTGAACCCAGGACTTCATATATGCTAGGCAAGCACTTTACCACTAAGCCAAATTCCCAGCCACTGAGCTGCTGCTTCTTTTTGTTTTGTTTGTTTTTTAATGCTCAAGGCTAGCAGTCTACCTAACACTTGAGGCACAACTTCACTTCAGGCTTTTTGGAGTTAATTCCCTGCTCTGTGCTGGCTTGGAATGCCTACAGTCCTCAGATCTCAGCTTCCTGAATATCTGGGATTACTGGTATGAGCCACCAGCACCCAGTTCTGAAACAGGGTTTTTTCTTTTTCGGTTGTGGGGCTTGAACTCTGGGCCTGGGCTCTGTCCCTTAGCTCTTCAGCTTGAGGGTAGCGCTCAACCACTTGAGCCACAGTGCCACTTCCAGTTTTCTGGTGGTTTATTGGAGATAAGAGTCTCATGGACTTTCCTGTCCAGGCTGGCTTTCAACTGTGGTCCTCAGATCTTAGCCTTCTAAGTAGCTAGGATTATAGGTGTAAGCTACTGGCACTGGCTGAAATGGGATTTTTGATGGTTAAAGACACTGTGAGGGCTGGGAATGTGGCATAGTGGTAGAGAGCTTGCCTAGCATGCATGAAGCTCTGGGTTCGATTTCTCAGTGCCACATAAACAGAAAAGGCCAGAAGTGGTGCTGTGGCTCAAGTGGTAGAGTCCTAGGCTTGAGCAAAAGAAGCTCAGGAACATTGCCCAGGCCCTGAGTTCAAGCCCCAAGACTGGCCAAAAAAGAAAAAAAGAACAACTGTGAAGCATTGTAACATCTAACAGACAGTGCTCCTCTAGAGTATGAGAGAGGCTGGCCTTTAACTGTAGGAACATAGGTTAGCAGCAGATCCATTTCTATAGGATTAGGTGCCATTGAAATTCAGATCTTTGTAATGTTTCTTTTTATTTAGACCTTTGAATATTTGAAATATTTGACTAAGTTCTAGTGTGTGAAAGATATATATCATGAATTGGTATTAGTGAACGAATGCTCCCAACTAGCAAGGATACTGTGATAATTAAAAGTAGTAACACTAGCCAGGTGCTGGTGGCTCCCACCTGTAATCCTAGCTACTTGGGAGGCTGAGATCTGAGGATTGTGGTTCAAAGCCAGCCCAGGCAGGAAAGTCCATGAGACTCTTCTCTCCAATTAAACACAGAAAAAGCTAGAAATGGCGCTTTGGATCAAGTGTTAAAGTGCTAGTCTTGAGGAAAAGGAAATCAGGGACAGCACCTAGGCTCTGAATTGAACCAACAAAAATAAATAAATGAAAGTAGTAACAGTTCTAGATGTTAAGACACCTACTGATTTCTAGTTGTTTTAATCATACCTATCTTACTTTGTTCTGAGTCTTCCATCTCAGTTTTATTCTGTTTGTGCTTATATGTATGTATCAAGGGGCCTCTCTCCCTTATATTTGCTCCTATCTCCTGTGATATACACAGCCCACAGGACTACAGTAGCAGTCTGTCTATCCCCATATACTCAGTTTTGCTTATTTTGGTCTTATATTGCCATCTGAATTTACAAATTTATATTGTATTTCTGTTTGTTATCTGTGTATAGCATGTATGTATATTTGTGTCTACATATAAGCAGGCTTTTCTTCAGCTGAGTTTTGGGTGGTTCTGGAAATCCTACTGTGTTTAAATAGGGTTGTCATTCAACACAGTGAAATTTTCAAAGAATTGAACATCTTGCTATTCAGACTGGCCTGCCTGGAAGCTGGCAGTCACAAGTACAGAATTTTATGTTTACTGACTCAAAATCGCAATTTAGCAACATCCCCATATGATTTTCATTCACAAAAAGGTTTGAAAAATGTGTTCCAGAGCAACACATAAAGTTGCAACTATTTTTATTTCAGAGATACTTCACAGTCTTAAACATCATGCTTTCTGTGTAAAAGCACAATTAACGTATCAGAGTGCCCATTAAAAGTTACATAAAGGAGGGCTGGGAATATGGCTCCGTGGTAGAGTGCTTGCCTAGCATGCATGAAGCCCTGGGTCCAATTCCTCAATACCACATACATAGAAAAAGCTGGAAGTGGTGCTGTGGCCCAAGTGGTAGCATGCTAGCCTTGAGCAAAAGCAACTCAGGGACAACACCCAGGCCCTGAGTTCACAAGACCCAAGACTGGCAAAACAAAAACAAAAAAAGTTACATAAAGGAGGACTGGTAATGTGACTTACTGGTAGAGTGCTTGTCTAGCATGCATGAAGCCCTGGGTTCAATTCCTCAGTACCATATACACAGAAAAAGCCAGAAATGGTGCTGTGGCTCACCTGGTAGTGTGCTAGCCTTGAGCAAAAGTAGCTTAGAGACTGCCCAGGCCCTGAGTTCAAGCCCCAGGACTGGCAAAAAAAAAAAAAAAAAGTTACATAAATCACCACCAGGTGCTGGTGGCTCACACCTGTAATCCTAATTACTCAGGCTAAGATCTGAGGATTATGGACTGAAGCCAGTCCAAACAGCAAAGTCTATGAGACTCTTACCTCTAATAAATTACTCAGAAAAAGCCAGAAGTGATGCTGTGACTCAAGTTGTAGAGCACTAGCCTTGAGCAAAAGAAGCTTGGGACAGCACTGAGGCCCAGAATTTAAGCCCCAGGACTGGCAAAAAAAAAAAGGGGGGGTGAGAAAATACTGTTTGACTTTAGTTATAAACCATACCAAATGTTAAGTGGGTTAAGAAGTGTTCATGTAAGACATTTGTTCACAGCTATAGAAACCCTTTTTTTAGGTGACACATGCTTACTTGAGCGCCAGCCATTCTAGGGTCTAAGCTGGCATTGGATGTAGCAGGAACTAGTTCGATATTTTCTGCTCTCAGCTCTATTGGGGAATACAAGTTAATGTTGGCTACAGTGATGTTATATGATTAAGAAAATGCAGGTACCATTTAGGTTAGTTTACTCAGACATGAGGGTCATCAAGAAGGGTTTGGGGTACACTGAACACTTCATTCCTGAGTGATTACGTATCACCAAGGCAAAAGCAAGGAAGAACTAAATATTTAAGATGTAGAAAATCACTTGTGCAAAGGTGGTAACTGATTTAATGTGCTTTCGGTTTTAACTTCATGAAAAAATGGCAAAAAATAAGAGGGAAAATTAAGTGTGGGTCATTAAGGACTCTGAAGACCATATTAGGGAATTTGAACTTATCCTGGGAGAGGGAAGAGAGGGATTGTATGTAGTCATATGGCTTCTAAGGTGGAGGTCCAGAACATACTTCTGTAATTGGAAGTGGAGAGTTACACTGTTAGACTTATGTCTAAGAGGTAGAATGAGCAAACCCTAGAGTTTTAGTGGGGTTAGGATGACTTGTTCCTGTTGACTGGCTGGTAGGGCACTCAGATGATGAGTTTAGGGAGTTGGAATGACTAAAAAGAGCTAAATTGAATTAAAGTGCTATAACATTTCCAAGTAGAAATATTTTTAGTAGGCTGGCTGATAAGGAAGATGCACTGTTTGAGAAAGGGTTCTGGGCTGCAGGCACACAATTACTCCTTTAGCATTGCATGGACTCTTGACACATTGTGCTAAATAAGTACATAGAATACTTAGCAGGTATCATCTAGTGGGGAGGAAATGAGGGTAAGCCAGCAGATTCCCTGCTTCTGCTGTGCAGAAGCACATTACCAGCAGAAAGCCCAGCTTGCTGTTTTTCAGGACATGAAAAGACTCAGGCAAACAAAGTGAACAATTATGTGTGCAACTCATGGGTTTGATGTTGCTATGTTTTAGGTAACAGTTGACAAATGGGAACCTTTGTTGAACAATTTGGGACATGTCTGCAGAAAACTTAAGTAAGTACAATGGAGCATTTTCAGAAATAACTTTTACTAAAAGTTAACTTGAACTAAAAAAAAAAAAATACCAGGGTTTAAGCTCAGGGCTTTGTACTTGTTAAGCAAGTATTCTTAACCACTTGAGCATGTCTCCAACATAGTTTACATGAGTGGTCTTTTTGTATTTTTATTTCATCACATTCTTCAGCCTTCTTATACTTGATTGCTTAGAGAGAAGCAGCATCAAATTCATTGTTTTATTGTTTATCTCTGGGTACTTTTAGAAACTTTGAGAATTGTAACCAGTGGCTCCCTTTTTAAGTTAAGAAATTCAGTGTTGAAAGGTGATTCAGAAGATCTTGGATAGTAGGATCTAATTAAAGCTATGCTCCTATTTAGCTGTTTTCCCCCTAGAGATTCCATTGTACAGTAAACAGATAACATCTGAAGATGGTCCTGTGTGTCTTGGAAACTAGGTTAATCAAGATTTAACATGTTTTAGGGGCAGAGAAAGCCCTTGTATATAGTACAAGAAGGGAATAGTTTTAAAATCATTGAATTGTATTTTCAAAAGGAAAATACAATTGTAGGATTTTTTTGTTGTAGGATTTCTTTGATCTTTACTATGTGTTATGAACTATAGTAATTGCTAGACTTTGAATATAATTTTTTCCCCCATAGAAGATTTCACAGAACAAGTACTCTACAGAACTGTGGGGAATGCTGGTCTAAGTTATTTTGGGACCTTAAAACAAAACTCCTTGGCTGCTTTCACCTGTCCTGATGTAGGAGAATTATGTCATAGGAGAAGGTGGCAAGTGATGAAGCTCAGGCAGGGAGCTGGGAACAAGCTTCTGGTTGGGTCTTCTCAAACAAAAGAATATAGCAGATCTGAGTGACAGTGCCCACAGCTGGCTGAAGGTACATACCAGAAAAATACATTTCTTAGTGTTGTACATCCATAAAGTAAGTATGGAAATAGTTACCAGTCTAGATTGCTACTCTAACAGAAAGTTTCCTCCATGTTTATATAGATGATATGCACCCTAAACCTAGAAATTTAGTACTTTTACTGTGTCCAATAATGATTTTCTCTCCCCCTCTCCTTACCCTTGTCTCTACCCTTCATTTCCCTTCCCCACCCTGTCTTCTCCTCAACAGAAAATATGCAGAGGCATTGGATTACCACCGGCAAGCATTGGTATTAATTCCTCAAAATGCATCCACCTATTCTGCCATAGGATATATCCATAGCCTAATGGGAAACTTTGAAAATGCTGTGGACTATTTCCACACAGTATGTCTTCTATTTATACTCAGTTTTGAATGTGGTTAATATTCACCCTTCTTTTGAAAAGATATTTTCTAAGCAAGATTTTCTTTCTTTATAGCATTAAACTTCTTCAGGCAACATCATTCTTTTATTTGCAGAGAAAAGTATATGCATGTTATGTAGTATTTGTCAATTTAGAAAGAAATGTGATGAAACTGGTCAGTATGCAGTGAGGTGAGCAAGTACCCAGTGGTACTTGTCATTCAACTCTATTGGGTATCTTGTCCAGGCAGGGAGCACAGAAAAATGCATTCCCAGCTGGGCGCTGGTAGCTGATGCCTGTAATCCTAACTACTCTGGAGGCTGAGATCTGAGAATTACAGTTCAAAGCCAGTCCAGGCAGGAAGTTTATGAGACTCTTATCTCCAGTTAACCACCAGAAAACCAGAAGTAGTGCTGTAGCTCAAGTAGTAGAACACTGGCCTCCAGCAAAACAAGGACAGGGACAGCACCCAGGCCCAGAGTTAAAGCCCCAGGACAGACAGAAAAAAACAAACACCCACTATTCCCAGTGATGGCCTTTGGGAACTGTCTTTGTACTCAAGACTGTTAGAATTAACTTACTAAATCACTTTTATAGAATAATCTGTTCATTCATTACGAGGAAAGAATCTTTCCTTAGTCCTGAAACATATTTCATCAAAGCCAAGACACCACGAATCAGTACCAGTACCGGGACCATAAAGAAAAAGATACCACCAGTTAAAATCCAACATAATTAGCTGGGTGCTGGTGGCTCACGCCTGTAATTCTAGCTACTCAGGAGGCTGAGATCCTGAGGATCATGGTTCAAACCCAGTCCGGGCAGGAAAGTCTATAAATAGAATCTTACCTCCAATAAACCACCAGAAAACCGGAAGTGGTGCTGTGGCTCAAGTGGTAGAGCGCTGGCCTTGAGCTAAAGAGCTGAGGGACAGCACCCAGGCCAGGAGTTCAAGCACCATGACTGACAAAAAATAAATCCAGCATAATTACTTTTCTGTCATTTAATTTTTTTGCACTTAGAGAAAATACTTTTATATAGACATAGATTTTTTTTTAACTTGGAATCACCGTAATATATCAGAAGAAAATATAAGTGAATAAATGGTTTCAGTTTTCAAGCCACAGTCAGTGTTCCTGTCTTCCCAAGAGAGTGTCTTAGTGTCACATGTCCATTATTGAGTTTGGGTCTCTTCTCAACAGTAGATTCCTGCTTTGCACATTTCTCTGAAACCCCTCTCAGCCTATTAAGGGAGGGTTTCGGACAATTACCATAATTTACATATCTCTACTTGTGTCATCTGATCACCAGGCCAACCATGCTGGAGGAAAACCCTGTTTCACAGCTGTGGCTGGTGACAGCAGCAATAAAAAGCGATTAGTTATAAGGTATTCCAGGTTCAGAAATACAAGAATTTGGGGGAAAATATGGGCCAGAGAATCAATTAACTCATGTATTTGGGAAGATAAAAAATGTGGTACTATAATAGTTCCAAAGGAAATCATCAGTGATATGCTCATAAATCATTTTCAAGGACTAATTTTCAGGCTACATGGAATCTTTTAAAAAACTAAGTGGTTGTACAAACGAGGTTTCAATTCCACAGGTCACATGATGAGTACAGTACATCTTGATTAGTATTACTTCTTCCATTGTTCTCCCCATCTTCATCCCATCCCTAACCTCGTTACATACTTCTGTTTTTACATAATGTACATTGAATATAATGACTGTATTTGCTCACTCTTTTTCCCTCTGTACATTGAGTCTTAAAGGTGTCCCTGTGATTGAGTATCTTGAGCTATGACAATGCCAGTTTTCTTGTCTTATATCTTTCAAATATGTATATTTTGAGTATCATATAATTTACTAAGTGTCAGAGTATACACTTGGTGGAAATACAGCATTTTAAGCTCTTGAATAGAATTCAAGTATGCCAATGGAATAGTATGATGAACCTCTTTGACCATCACCCCCTCTCATCAATCTCAGTCTTACAGCTGTATCCCCATCAATACTGCCATCATCCCACCCTGGATCCCCTAAATACTTTGAAATGAATCTGCGTGGGAGTATTTTTAAAGAGGAGAGAATGTACTACATTTTTGATAATCATGCTCAATCTCTCTTGGCAGGCCCTTGGTCTTAGGCGAGATGATACCTTTTCTGTTACAATGCTTGGTCATTGCATTGAAATGTACATTGGTGATTCTGAAGCTTATATTGGTAAGATAATAATCACTCTTACTGGCATTGTATTCTTCATTTTCAATTACTGTATATCTGTTTGAGATTCTTAAGTTTTAATCCAAGATTCTAGATTTATCATTCCAACATTCTAACTACAGTGATGTCAAGAGATTCTGGGTTTTCTCAGATAGCTGTCATTGGCAGATGCTCATTTGGGTTGATGATCTGTTATAGACTCACTCGTCCTAGGATGGCAGGTCCTCCCATTGTAGGGCTTTCAACCCTGCCTTCTTCATATTCTGGTATACTCAGGATCATAGAGGACAAGAGCCAATGCTTCTAGAACCTTCCTGGAATCAGGTTGCATTCTTTGTTGGGGAAGTGTTAATGGAAGCTAGTGACTCATTTCATGTTAAGAACTTGGTGCACACAGAACGCTGTTAACAGAGTATGTGTGACTCATTGTGATACAGAGGAGTTAGTCTACTTAAATAGTAAAAGAAACCAATCTTGAAGATATTTTCTAAGCCAAGCGCCAGTGGCTCACATTGGTCATCCTGGCTACTCAGGAGACTTAGATCTGAGGATTGCGGTTCAAAGCCAGCCCAGGTAGGAACATCTGTAAGACTCTCATCTCCAATTAACCACCTGAAACCTGGAAGTGGCACTGTGGCTCAAGTGGTAGAGCACTTGCCTTGAGCTGAAGAGCTCAGGGACAGCGCCCAGGCCCAGAGTTCAAGCCCCACAACCAACAAAAAAATAGATACTTTCTAGTAAGTGAAGGGTTCTGGCCTTCCTATTTTGTAATATGTGGCACAAAATAATAGCAATCTTGACATTAGGTGCCTTGAGTTTACTTTCAGTGGCATATAACCCTTATTTTTGTAGATAAGTAATAGGGTAGGTTTGAATAGATTTGATGTATTTGTGGAATTTCTTAGATTCAAAAGGGCACATTGAGATGAAATCTTGAGATCTAGTGTAGGCAAAGATTTAAGAACATAAAATACGTTCAGTGGGAAAAATGACCAGTTGATATTTAATATCACTAAGAACTTTTGTTAACTAAAAATTCTGTTATGAGACATGGCATTGACAGGGAGACATGGCTCAGGGCACAGGGGATTCATGTCTGGGACACCGAATCATAGAGGTTGCTTAGAAAAGATGGAACAAAGTACCTTAGCCAGGTCAGGTGCCAGTGGCTTACACTTGTAATCTTCTCATCATGGTTCAAAGCCAACCCAGGCAGGAAAGTCCATGGTTCTTACTTTGAATTGACTGCCCCCCAAAACAAAAGTGGGACTGTGGCTCCAGTGATAGAGCAATTGCCTTGAGAAAAAGCTCAGGGATAGTGCCCATGCCCCGAGTTCAAACCCCAAGACTGGCACCAAAAAAACAACTGGCTCTGTAGCTCAGAAGGCTAAAATCTGAGGATTGTGGTTTGCAGGAAAATCCTTGAGACTTACCTCTAATTAACCACCAAAACAACTGGAAATGGAGCTGTGGTTCAAGTGGTAGGTTGCTAGCATTGAGTAAAAGAGCTCAGAGACAACACCCAGGTCCTAAGCTCAGGAATAGTGCATGTGTGCACATGTATATGCAAGCATGCGTGTGCTTGAAGAGGAGCTTTACAAAGAGGGCATCTGGTTATAGAGCATAAAGGCACTCAGCAGCAGCATTTACTTGTTTGGGAATGGAGTTGGCATTCGAATGACAAATTGCCACACATCCTTCAGAATGCCTGAATCAAACTTTGTGACAATACTTAGCATTGGGTTAACGTAGAACAACTGGAGATTCTGTGTGATTTAAGGGGCTACAAATGGGTACAATTTCTCAAACACTGTTGAGCATGCTACTAAAAGTTATCCATTACATTTGCTATGTAAGAAGCAACTCTAAAAATGTGGCTTCAAACAACAATGTGTATGGGTCATTGGGAGTGCTCTGCTGGTCTCTTTGGAATTTGTTTTGATTATCCATGGGGCTCTCAGGGCCTATGTGCTGTCCCTGAGCTCTTTTGCTCAAGACTAGCACTGTGCCACTTTGAACTACAGCTCCACTTCTGATTTTCTGGTGGTTAATCGGAGAAAAGACTCTTATGGACTTTGCTGCCCAGGCTGGCTTTGAACCACGATCCTCTGATTTCAGCCTAAGTAGCTAGGATTGCAGACGTGAGCCACCAGCACCCAGCTCTCTGGAATCTTCTGGGACTGTGGTCAATAGACCCTCAGCTCGGTTTGATGGACTTCCCCATGAATGAAGGTACTTAGTTAGAGTGGCTAGACCTCCTTTTGTAGGGCTTTCATCGTAGCTTTCATAGTATGATGTGCTCAAGGGATCTTGAATACAAGACCTTCTGAAAATCGAAAGTCATACATTCTGTTCATCAAAAGTCACTGTGGGGGGCTGGGAAGGTGGCTCAGTGGTAGAGCGCTTGCCTTGCATGGGTTCGATTCCTCTGCACCACATAAGCAAAAAGAAAAAAGCTGGAAGTGGTACTGTGGCTCAAGTGGTAGAGTGCCAGCCTTGAGCTGAAGAGCTGAGGGACAGTGCCCAGGCCCAGAGTTCAGGCCCCATGACCGGACCCCCTCCCCCAAAAAAAGTCACTGTGGGAGGAAGCTAGCCATTCAAGAATGAGAATTCTTGGGTGGGGGGGGGAGCGGGAAGGGAGAGGATGGGAAAGGATGGGAAGGGGAAACAAAGGAGGAGCCTAAAATGCAAGAACTAGTAAGTTTTACATGCAGTTTTGAACAAGCATGGTAAAAAATAATAAATTCAAAAGAAATTTGACAAAAATTTTTAAAGTTTTGCAGATGGGGAGTTCTGTTGGTCCTGCTTAGCCATTTGTGTTTAAATCATTGCGTACTTGGCTGTTTTTCTGTCCTTCATTTTCTATGCCTCCCCCCAAGCAAATGCTACCTAAAAGCAAGGTAAAGGTTAGAGTAACCCTTCCAAGGACAGTAGGGGTACATCATGTGCTTAAGTGATAAAGTGAAATTTTTAAATTGGCTGAAAGTCAGTGTGTATATTGCAGAAGTTAAACAGCATTCTGGGAAAACTTAATTATCTATAGTATTCAAAATAAGGAGCATGAAAAGGGATGTAGTTTCCGGTGAGCAGTATTAATGTGTACAATAGTAATTTCTATGACCATAATGTACTCTACTCTGTGTTTTCAAGTTTTGGGTGCTCAGACCTATTGTATGGGTCTATTTACCTATGAAATAGGTCAATTTGAGTAATTTAAGATTTTGAGCCGAGCACCTGTAATCTTAGCTACTCAGGAGGCTGAGATCTGAGGATCAAGGTTCAAAGCCAGCCTCTGCAAGAAATGTGAAACTCTTTATCTCCAATAAACCACCAGATAACCGGAAGTGGTGCTGTAGCCCAAGTGGTAGAGTGCTAGCCTTGAATTGAAGAGCTGAGGGACAGTGCTCAGGCCCAGAGTTCAAGCCCCACGACCGAGATAAAACCAAAAACTACCCTATGATCTAGCCAGATCATACTCTTGGGCATCTACTCAGCATTACAAAAAAAAAAGGAATGTGAACTCTGGGCTGAGAAGGTGGCTCAGTGGTAGAGTTCTTGCCTTGCATGCATGAGTACCTGGATTCAATTCCTCAGCACCACATAAGCAGAAAAAAGCCAGAGGTGGCACTGTGAGAGCTAGCCTTGAGCTGAAGAGCGGAGGGACAGTGCCCAGGCCCAGGGTTCAGGCCCCACAACTGACCAAAAAAAAAAAAGTATGAATTCTGCATGCTGAACATTCATGATATTTCCTCAACATGGTCTCCCTGGAACCATATATTCATAAATACATATTGAGCGTCGACTGTGCAGATGCCTGTGGTGATGTGGAGAAACTTCATAGACCAAGAAAAAGTATGTACTGATTATGCCATTATAGGGAGACTAGTAACCAGCAAGACTGAGGGATGGTAATAAAAAGTTGAGTGTTGACCCCAGCATTGGGAAAGCTGGAATATGGGCCAAAAGGGGCAGGGTGTCTGTAGCAGTGGATGGTGGTCTGTTTTTCCATGCAGTCATTATATGGGATTTGTAAGAATTACCTCTCCATGTGCCTAAGTGGATGTCTGACCTGCTGTTCATCTTATAGTTCGGTTCCTTAAAAATATTTGAAAAGGGGCTGGGAAGGTGGCTCATTGGTAGAGTGCTTGCCTTGTATGCATGAGGCCCTGGGTTTGATTCCTCAGCACTACATAAGCAAAAAGAAAAAAGCCAGAAGTGGCGCTGTGGCTCAATTGGTAGAGCGCTAGCCTTGAGCTGAAGAGCTGAGGGACAGCGCCCAGGCCCTGAGTTCAGGCCCCATGACCAGACCACCCCCCAAAAAAATTGAAAAAAGCTCTGGTACCCTGAAGAACCCAGGCTGAAACAATTCCATTACTCAGTAGCTTCAGCCTTTGTGTTAGACTTCTTATCATGGTGACAGAATACATGACAGAAACAACTGCAGGATTTCTTTTTGCTTGTGGTTTCAGTTCTTCATGGTAGAGAAGCCATGGTGGACCAGAGCAGTTACATGTGCTGGCCAGGAAATAGAGTAGATGTCTGAACTCCTGGCTTTTTTTCTTCTCCCTTTTATTCCATCTAGGCCCCCAGCCTTTAGTGTTACTAACTTAAGTTGGTTCTTACCTAGTTAATCCTCTCTAAATCCCCTCACAAACACTTCCAGAGGTGTGCTTTACTAATCAGCCAGGCACTTCCCAGTCCAAATTATCTGTCAAGATCAGCTATCACAAGTTCCTCATTTGTTCTGGGAGACCTGTTGGGCTCAAATGTGAAGCTAAGCCAGGGCTGGATGTGCCTCCTGGAGTAAAATAGATTTTCTCTGTCCTTGAGGAAGTGGTCCCAGATTGCCAGGTTATTGTTCACTGCGTGTTTTGCCTTCAGGAGGTTTGTAGTCATTATATGTCAAAAGTACCTCATCCTGAAAGGATAGGTACCTCAAACCTACTAAGGTGTACTGCATGAAATTTTCAGGTAATGTCAGAAATCATTGGATGCAATGTATTGGTTCCAACCTGTGCAGAAGGTTGGCATGTGGGAAATGTATTGTGGCTTCCATGAGCAGTAGAACAGTACCATTCCAAACAGACATAGAGAGTCTTGTACTTGCTCATGGCTTCCTTGCTGATGGCTCATACATACTCTACCACCTGAGCCATATCTCCAGTCTGGCATTTTGCTGGTGAGAGGTCTCAGCCTCCTGAGGATTACAGGCATGAACTACTAGAATCCAGCTCCACAGATGGTTCTTGCCTGGGACAGGGAGGAAAAGTTGCCTACATGCTTCATCCAGTATTCAGGGGGCTTTGTAAACAGGGAGCTGTGAAGCCACTTGAGAATCACACCTGCATGTGCTTCCTTTAAAATAGTAGCAAATAGCTGGGTGGTGGTGGCTCACACTGTGATCCTATCCTACCTATTCAGGAGAGTGAGATGTGAGGATTGTGGTTCAGAGCTAGCCCAGGCAGTAAAGTCCGTGAGACACTTACCTCCTGTTCACCACTAGAAAACCAGAAGTGGAGTTGTGGCTGAAGTAGTAGAGTACTAGCCTTGAGCAGGAATGCTCAGGGATAGCATCAGGCCCTGAGTTTAAGCCCCATGACGGGGTTGGGAGAATGACAAAAATAGTGGTAAATGAAAGAAATTGGCATTCTTTTCCTTCTCTCTTGTAGAGAGTCCTTTTATCTACCTTAAAAGTAGTTTAAGGCCAGGTGCCTGTGGCTCACGCCTGTAATCCTAGCTACTCAGGTGGCTGAGATCTAAGGATTGCAGTTCAAAGCCAGCCATGGCAGGAAAGTCCGAGAGACTCTTAGCTCCAATAAACCACTAGAAAACTGGAAGTGGCACTGTGGCTCAAGTGGTAGACTACTCACTTGAGCTGAAGGACCTCAGGGACAGTGCCTAGGCCCAGAGTTCAAGCCCCATGACTGACCAAAAAAGAAAAAAAAAAAGTAGTTTGATTTAAATGGTATAATGATGGAAATGTTAGTTAAATGATGGAATTTCTTACTTCAATTCTTTTTAGGAGCAGACATTAAAGACAAATTAAAGTGTTATGACTTTGATGTACATACAATGAAGACACTGAAAAACATTATTTCACCTCCGTGGGATTTCAGAGAATTTGAAGTAGAAAAACAGACTACAGAAGAAACAGGACTTGCACCACTGGAAAACTCCAGGAAAACTCCAGATTCCAGACCTTCCTTGGAAGAAACCTTTGAAATTGAAATGAATGAAAGTGACATGATGTTAGAGACATCTATGTCAGATCATAGCACGTGACCCAGGTACTGGTCCCAGGCTTTCACGTGCTGTGTCAATTTTTCCTCATGTCCTTGCCACATCCCAAGGATTTCCTGCTTTCTAACGTGAATCCAAACTATATCTCCACATTTAGGACCGGGGGCCTTGCCTTAAGAGACAGGATCTACAGCAGGTGTGTTCTGATTTTTGGTTATATGTAGCTGAATAAAGAGGTAAACTGTCCATTATGTCTTTTTCTCTTCCAACCTGTATCTATTTTGATATAATTTTGGATTTATAGAAAACATGCCTTGTTTCTCCATTAATATCTTTTGTTATAAGTTGTTATGGCTAAGAGATTGACATTGGTATGTTGCTAACAAAACTCCATTTTTCCCCAAGATCCTTTTTTTCGTCTCACTTGATTTTTTTTATTATACTTTATTTGGTACTTTTTCTTATGCTTCCTTGCACATTTTTAGGTTTTTCTTGATGGTTACCTTGTAGGGTATAACACCTTAACCTAAGTCCATTTAGTTTCAGTATTGTAAAAACTTTCTGCTGCTATTCAAATCCCTGCCTCTACCTTTAACATGTCATGATCAAAGAGGACTTCCTGTTGTGTGTACATTGTTTGCCCTTAACAATTATAATTGCTGTCTTATCACTTGCCTTTTAAGTCTTATAGGAAAATAGTACAGCCGGGCACCAGTGGCTCATGCCTGTAATCTTACCTGCCCAGGAGGCAGAGATCTGAGGATCGAGGTTTGAAGCCAGCCTATCTCCAATTCATCACAGAAAAAGCTAGAAGTGGCACTGTGGATCAAGGGGTAGAATGCTGGCCTTGAGCAAAAATGAGCTAAGGGACTGCATCCAAGCCTAGAGTTTGAGCTGCAGGGTTCACCGTCCACCCTCACTCCCCCTCCCCCAAAAAAGAGTACAAACCAAAAGCATACTTGTTTTCAAATTTACCTGCACAGTTACCTTTACCATTGTCCTCATATGACTCTGAATTTCTGCCTAGTAACCTTGTGTTTTCTGTGAAGGAGTTGCTTTCGCATTATTTTTTTTTCCCTCCCCTTTTCAGTGCTGGAAATGGAGCCCAGGACCTCCCACATGGGGCAGGCACTGCAAGTGAGCTGACCTCTTACCACCACCCCAGTTGTATTTCTTATTCTTGCAGAATAGGACACCCTCTTCTCTTTATCTGAGAATGGCTAATTTTGTTTTCATTCATGGTTAATTTCACTGAATATAGAATTCTCACCTGATTTTTTTTTTTTCTTTTTATCAGCCGCTTAAATGACAGCCAGCTCTGGCCTGGCCTCCATGGCATCTGAAAAGTCAGCGCCAAATTACTGAGGATCCTTTCACACGTGAGCTGTTGCTTCTCTTATTTTAAGGTTCCTGATTTGTCTTTTGAAAATTTAAGTAAGATTATTCAGTGTGGACCTTTTTTTTTTGCAGTACTGAGGTTTTGAACTCAGAGCCTCATACTTAGTAGGCAAGCACCTCTACTCTTGATCCTATGCCCCTGATCAATTTTTTTGTCTTAATTTTTCAGATAAGTTCTCACATATTTGCTTGGGACCAGCTTTAGACCTAGACCTAGGGCTTCCGCATACTTGGGAACACAGGCACAAACTACCACATCTAGCTGAGATGGTATCCCACTTTTTTTTTTTGAGCTGCCTTCAGACTTCTTGATAGCTGCCTCCTTACCACAGGTGTAAGCCATCACACCTGGAAATCAATGTGGAACTCTTCATCTTGTTTACCCTGCTTGCAGTTGGGATTCTTGAATGTCTTTATTAAATTTGGGTAGTTTTCAGCCATTATTTCTTTACATATTTTTTTCTGCCTAATCTTTCTCTTGAGATCAGTGCATTGTATATGTTGGTAAGTTTAAGGGTGTCACATGGATCTGTTTTATTTTTCCTCATTTCTGCTTCTCACACTGAGTAACTTCAGTTGTCTTCAAGTTTGTGGGTTCTGTTTTGTCTTCTCATTCTGCTGCTGAACTCCTCCTGTGGTTTTTATGCTTTTTAGTTCCAGAACTTGTGATGGATGAAGAGAACATAGGAACTGAAAATGAAAAGCAATTTCTATTTATATCCCACTCTTCTGGTACCCTGAATTGTCTATGGTTTCCATAGTTTCCATGTGTATATGCCAGTTCTGGGTTTGAACTTAGGGCCTGGTCACTGTTTCTGAGCTTTTGTGCTCAAGAGTATCACTCTTACATTTGAGCCACAGCTCTACTTTTGGCTTTTTGGGGTGGGTTAATTGGAGATAAGAGTCTCACTGACTTTTCTAGCCTGGGATGGCTTTGAACCACAATCTTCAGATCTCTGCCTCCTTAGTAGCTAGGATTACAGGCAAGAGCCACAGACTCGGGGCTTCATATCCTTATAAGTATACCTAAACTTGTAATTACAATTTCTGGCTTTCTTCAGTAATATTTTGTATCAATTTTGTGTGTGTGTGTGTGTGTGTGTATGTATGTGCCAGCCATATTTCTCAGTTTGTAAGCTTTGTAGTTTTGAGATAGTCATTTTGAATATTTTATTGTAATAACTGGATACCAAATCCCCTCCTTAGGGATTTCTGCTTTTGTTATTTGTGAAGAGCTACAGTCACCCAATTTCCAGATTGTTTTTGCAAAATCCATATTCTTTATGTATTTACTGAATTGCTGTTATATTATCTCTGACCAGCCTATGACCTGCCAGCTTACCTTAAATGTCTGTATCTTAAAAAAAAAAAAATGTGTGTGTGTGTGACTCAATATCCTCACAGCCACTGCTGGAAAAACCACCATTGCTTGGGGGGTTACAATTAAGTCCTGCATGTGCGATGGTCCCTTGGAACCAGTAGGGCAGGACATGGTTTCAGTTTGCTTTCTTGTTGCTGTGACAAATTACCAGAGAAAACTTGAGGGAGAAATTTTGTTTTGGTCAGTCATGGGGCTTGAATTCAGGGCCTGGATACTGTCCCTGAGCTCTTTTGCTCAAGGCTGGTACTCTGCCACTTTGAGTCACAGCTCCACTTCCGGTTTTAGAGTGGTTTAATTGGAGATAAGAGTTTCATAGGGAATTTTCTGCCTAGTCTGGCTTTGAACTGTGACCTCAGCTCTAGCCTCCTGGGCAGCTAGGATTACAGATGTGAGCCACTAGTGCCTGGCTGAGAAATTACTTCTTTTGGCTGTTTTAATGGTTTCAGTCCATTATGGCAAGAAGGGCTTGGTGGAGCATATGATGCAATGCCAGGATGCAGAGAATAAGGGTCTTGGGACCTGGCACAACCTTCAAAGGTATATTTCTAGTGACCTACTTCTCATCTCCTAAATTACCATCTCCCCCAATGAAGGCCATTGGGTAGACCTACATTTCATAGTCAGACCATAACATGCATGGTCGGTACCAGTTGGGCAGGTATCATGCTCACCACAGCTGCACCATCACTAGAGCTGTAGAACCACATCTGTCCAACAAAATTACAAAAGCAGGTGGTTTGGGGGGGGAAAGGAAGGGTGTTTAATTTTTAAGTTAGAAAATGCCACTTGGAATCAATCTGAGGCATTATTGAGCTATAAGCAGATTTTAAGTGGCTAAAACAAAGTTTAAACCAAAATATTTCTAGTACAAGTCCAGAAGTATCAGAAAATACTGTATAAGTACTTGGATAATATAGTTGTAGTAGTGTAACTTTAAAGTACATATTCTTTACTGTCTGTAGTCCACATACAATTGCAGGTCTACAAATCAACCACATACTGACAGTTTCTTAAAAGAATACTTTTGAGTTTAACCAACCACATCTGTTATGCAGGAGGGTCCCTCAACTCTTCAGCTCAAGGCAAGCGCTCTACCACTTGAGCCACAGCACCACTTCTGGTTTTCAGATGGTTAATTGGAAATGAGTCTCTCACCGACTTTCCTGCTCAGGCTGGCTTTGAACCGTGATCCTTAGATCTCAGCCTCCTGAGTAGCTAGGATTATAGGCGTGGGCCGCTGGCACCCAGCTTCAAACAAAAAGGTTTTTTTTTTTGTAGTTTTTTTCACTGTGCTGTTATTTGTACAACTCTTCATAGTGTACTGGACCATTATCATCAGTAGCTGCTTCATTAATCATTCTCACCTCTTCTTGTGAACTATTAACACGTGATGAAGTGCAGAGCCACTAATAGTACTATTGCCACTGCTTTATCAAACACAGAACAGGCTGGGTAGTAAGTGGGAAAGTAGGTCATCTATATTACACAGGATTTTTTCTTTTTTTTTTTTTGTGCCAGTTGTAGGTTGTGAACTCTGGGCATAGGCACTGTCCCTCAGCTCTTTAGCTCAAGGCTAGTGTTCTATCACTTGAGCCACAGTGCCACTTCAGCTTTTTCTGTTTATGTGGTGCTGAGGAATCAAACCAAGGGCCTCATGCATGTAAGGCATGAGACACCTTCCCAGTCCTATGTTAACAGTTTTTATGTGAAGTCATAAGTATTATTAGGAGCATTTACTGAATCTTGAAATTAAAATTTCAAGGAATTATCATATGAATTCTAAAATTTTATGTTTAATGGTGTGTATGTGTGTGTGTTTGCCAGCCAGTCCTGGGGCTTGAACTCAGGGCCTGGCACTGTCCCTGAGTTTCATTTGCTTAAGGTTAGCACTACCTACCAGTTGAGTCACAGCACCACTTGCAGGTTTTTCTGTTTATGTGAGGAACTGAACCTGGGGCTTCATGCCACGCTACCACTAAAGCCACATTCCCAGCCCCCTAAAATTCATTTGTATGAAATCACTTTTCAGAACTGTTCCTTGCAGTAATCTGAAGAACTACAAATATCTTAAAAAATTGACTATTGGGGTAGCTAACTAGGCATTTTGCTGGTTTACTTCAACAAGAAATATGCATCCAGGAAACACTTGATACCTATCATGCCCTTGAGCTGAGGGTGGAGGTGGTCCAAAATGAGAGACAGAACAACTTGGGTTTCCAAAAGGAGAGCAGGAGATACTAGGTGACATAGCTTCACAGTGGTGTGGCTAATAAAGACTGGGGACGCTATTCTCTCCATTTGGTAATTTGGGAATATCTTGGCTGATTATTTAATAAAGGAATCTTTCGTTGCAAAAATGTTTCAGTGGGTGTGAGATAAAGGTATCAGAATTCCACTTCCCAATCTAGAAACATCATTGGAACTAAAAAATCCTGCTTCAGATTGTTCAACTTAAGTAATGGTTGTAAACTGGAAAGAGAAGGTATGCACCATATGTACAAAAGGTGTATACGTGTCCTATGTCTAAACACTGCTAAAACATTCCATTAAATCTAGCTTATGGGGCTGGGAAGGTGGCTCAGTGGTAGAGCGCTTGCCTTGCATGCTCAAGGCC